TGAATGAGCCAGTGGTGGCTGATGGACATGGCTCGGCTCTGGTCTGTCCTTTCCTTTGGGACATGCAGCCAATACTTGTGTTGTGCTTCGTGCCCTTTAGAACTACAACATTCTGGGGATTGAGGAGACCTTGAAGGACTTTTCTACCACCTTCTTGCCATCCAGGCTCCTTCCCCCATCCTCTTCCCTTACAGTCTAGCTCAGGTCCAGCCTTGGGTGCAGAGGGTCTTTAGCTCTCCGTCTAGGCTTGTCGGGGTGTCGCCCATGCCTGCTTCACTCCCGTCTCCTTTGTGAGTGGGATTATGGTGAAGTGGCTAAGTGGAGGGTCTGGAGCCAGACTGCCAGGGTCTGAATCCTGAGGCCCCACTTACTGGCTGTGTGACCTTGGGCAAGCTACTTAATCTCTGCGTGCCTCAGTTTCCCCACATGTAAAGCGGGGTGACCACACACAGCTGTGGCAGTGATTCTGTGCGCAAATGCACATAAAGCACTTACCATGACATACTCAGGACGTGTTAGCCATGGCCTCTCACCTCTGCCTTTTCATCGTCTGCATTCACTTGAGTCTTTTGTAGGCTTCAGTTAGAATAGGCGGCTGTTCTCACCAATCCCTTTAGCTCGTTCCCCTTCTTGCTCTTACTTTCTCCTTTTCCTCTTTCTTCTAATTCAGTGGGGTTTTTTTTTAACCTTTTGGGGATCACAGGTTCTTTTGAGAATTTGAAGAAAAATGGACTGTTGGCCTAGAAAAATCTGTAATGTCACAGTCACCCAAAATGAGTAGACAATTCAGAAGTGCACAGACGCCCCGAAACCCCTCCATGGCCCTCTTGAATAGAGCTCGCATTATAAACAGCTGCATCTTTGTGGTCTTCTTTGGCACTGTGGGAAGAAGGCATTGCACCCTGCCATAAGATGCTCATTAGGAGACCGGGGAACTAGGACTGTCCCCTCACAGATTTGCAGGAAACCTTGTAATGCAGCTAGAAAAGCCTCTTCCCCAGAATGTGAAATCTTGGTACCATTTCCATGTTTATCCAACTGCATGACTCTGAACTGGTGCAGGCAAGAAGTGGTTATTTATATCTTACAATACTAGTTTATGATTGCTACTTTTAGAACATCTGGGGATGTCAGGCTAGTTTAAGTGAGGACCAATTTGAATTAATCAAGTATACGTGTGTGTGTGTGTGTGTGTGTGTGTGTGTGTGTGTGTGTGTGTGTGTGTGTTTTAAGCCCAGTTTCTTCCCAAGTGTGTACAGTAATGAGACATGATACATACATGCTAATGGTGATGGTAACAGCCAACTGTTTTCTAGATAGATGTTGTTTCGGACCTGTTTTTACTTTAAAAACATTTATTATTATTTCTGCATTAATTACTGGTGTATAAAAAGTGCTGTAAAAATAGTCAAGAAAAGAGTCTGTTCTTTGAAGAGGGTTATAATGTTCCTTCAGCAAATGTGTTCAGATTCTAAATTTGGTTAGTGAACTGTTTTATATAGGGGATACCAAGGTATACTTAATGCTGCTGGTCATGGATTAGAAGGTCAAAATTGATAAGGTTGGAAAATTGAAAAAACACAAACAAATAAGGAAACCATGATGTTCTGTTGCGGTGATTGTTTCTGGATTGGGCCCCTGCACATGTAGACAAGCGCTCTCTAACCCCCTGACTACTTGTGTAGACCAGCAGGTGGCAGAGACCTTTCTTGGCCACATTAACCTCAAAGCAGTGCATGGGAAGGATTGTTCAAAGGTTCCATGTGCCCAGTGTTTCAGCATATTCCGTATTAAACAGTGTTTTTTTATTATTTTTAATTTATTTTCATCAGGCATAGTGGCTCATATAATCCCACTGACTTGGGAGGCTGAGGCAGGAGGATCACTGGAGCCCAGGAGTTCAGGGCTGCAGCGAGCTATGATTGTGCCACTACACTCCAGCCTGGGAGACAGAGTGAGACCCTGTCCCTAAAAAAAAAAAAATTATTTTCTTCAAGATTAGAATTACCCATTGAATCTTCCAAGGAGGCCAAATGACTGGAAATAATCTTCAGTAACTGCTAATCGGAGTTGGATTTAAACCGACAACTTAAAAATAAAAAAGCTCATGTTTCCCAAACTTTTATCTGGCTGGGTAAATTGTTTTTTAGTGTGGAATTACGTACACTTAAATCACGGTGTGTGCATGTGGTCAGCGCTACTTTTCTTTTAAGTGGGCTTGTTTATTTAAAAGACTCAAAATGAGAAGTTGTTTTGCTCACTCGGTTGGGGTTTATTGTAAGACTCGATGCCAGAAAAAGAAAGAAGTACTGTTTTTGTGCTGTGACTGTGTGAAGTGGGCTACACGTGAGCCAGAGAGAGGGTAGTCATGGCGCTTTTTTCTCTCTGCCCAAAGAAGGAAAGCTCTAGCAACCAGCATAAGGCGTTTGTAGGGATCTGGGCTTATGAACGCCTGGTGATGCACCAACAAAGGGTTTCAAACACAGTAATGCCCACTGTACATTTTTACTCTTATTCCTTTGCAATAGTTAGAAGAACACTAGAATTAAACAGTAATGTTCAATATTATCCATTTTTTACTTCTGTGCCTTTGCAATAATTAGAATAACACTAGAATGAAACAGCTGGAAAGCAAAGTGGAAATTGTTTTGTGTTGGTAGATAACATTTGTTATTGAAAGGGTCAGTTTGATAGCCATGGAAAAGAAGGTGTTATTTTGCCCTGCTCTGTGCAGCGAGCATCGTGAGTGAGGGTCTCACCCTCTAACTACCCATGGGGCAGCCACGTTAGCAGCAAAGCAGCTGAGCGAGTCGTGCGATCCCATGTCAGGAATCACAGAGTCATAGACCCGTGGCCCACACAGACCCTAGGGGGAGGCTGAGCCCCATCTTGATCTACAAATGAGGAAAGAAGGGGGGTCCAGAAAGACCACGTGGCTCACCTGAGATCACACACTTGATCTGTGACAGGGATACACACTTCTCTTACAAGAGTGAGAATATAACTGCGCACGCACAAAAAAACTTAGAAAATTATCCTAATCTGTCAGGTTACTTTATTTTTTAACTGTGACTTAAATCCTCCTAAGTGCAGCTGAGTTGTCCTCTAACCCAGAAATCCTTCTAGAATTCCACCCCCATCCCCACCCTCAGGTTGAGCTAAGATCACTCTTCTTCATATACCACCTCTTGGATCTCTCTTCCTTAGCTCTTGTTATGTTTTGTAGAAGTTATTTGGTTATGCTTCTGTTGATAAATCCTTCACATACATTCCTCTTTAAAAGGTGCCTCATTTATTTTTTTGTTCTTCTTTGTACTTTTAAGAAATGGAGCAACTACAAAAAATATGAATTGCCCCGCCTCCTCCTGTTGCAACAGTTGTTTTTTCAGTGACCCTCTTAGATGCTTCATTTTAATTGTTCCCATGAACCTGGGCGGTAGAACTTTCAGGAGGTGATGGTAGGTTAGAGCGTAGGGTCTGTGGGCACCTAAACTCTCTGACAGGGGAAAGCTGTTCTGAGCCAGGTTGACACAAGTGAACGGCCCTACACTGTTGGTGTCAGTGTGATGACCAGCTGCAGATAAACAAGGGGACCCTTTGTTCTACTAGTGGCTAAAACATCATAGGAATGAGAATGGAATAACCTTTATGAACCCTGAACTGCACTGCCTGGACAAATAGAAACTGTTAACAAAGACAGAACCTTAGTGAGATTCCAGGTTTCATTCATTTTTTTTACACTTTTTTCTATTAAAAAAATATATCAAACATACAAACAAGTATAGGAAATAATACTCTGAACACTCTTGAACCCACCAGTCAGGCTTATTAAATCTTAACTTTTAATATTTTTCTTCTCTTCCTTCCCTACCCAGAGGCCATTGTTATGAATTTGATGTTTATCACTCTGAGATTCTAAATTTAACTCTTCGGGGCCTCCCTTAATGCAATGGGACAGGAGCTGTGTCTTGCAGCAATAAAATCATAATTTTGGAGCCACCACAAGATGACAACTCTAATGGTTTGAAATGCGTCAGTGAGATTAGACTGCAGAGACCCCAGATTTTCCAGACCCTAGATTCATGGCTAGTTGGGATCGCCCTGAGGGATGAGGAAGGAGGGTGGCCCCTGTAAACCTCAGGCAGGCACAGTTTGAAGAACTGTATGATTTAGGAATAGTGTTTTTCAAATGTTTAAAATTTTAATCCATAATAACAAATTTTGCATCGTGAACCTAAATATACCACACCACACCACACACACACATACACACACAAATACACAGAGAACATGTACCTCTGAACAAAAAGCTTAATGAAATTATTGTTGTTATATTTATTCTTTCTTTGTTAGCTGCCCTGAATATAGTCTATCTTGTTTGGCTGTTTTTCCAGAAGCTATTTTGTTCCAATAAATTGATTTCACATGCCATTAGTAGCTAGAAGCCCACAGTTTTAACAAAATACCCGAAACAAAACCTGGCTTCGGGAACTGTTATTTGTTTCATGGAGCAAAAGTTTTTAAACAGATATATTTAGTTTAACTTCTGCTGAACATTTTCATAAAAGCTTTTCTCTACCACTGACCTATGGTTAAAGATTTATGGCATGATGTATAAATAACAAATCCCACGTGAAACTAAGCAGAATTCAGTGCTCTTTTGGGGTTCAGGTTATTCTGTGTCATGCTACTTTTCTGTAAAGCTCGTAACCTTCTTCAAGCCTTGCTTTAAGGCAGCCTGTCTAGATTAAGTAAACAGAACTTGAACACAGTGACTTAACTATAACTGTATAAATTCATGATTGTTAAGCCACAAAAAATCAACCTTTCCAAATAAAACTGAGCATAAGTCAAACTGCCAAGTGAAAAAGAACAGCTATGGAGCCCCCGGCTCTCCCTTTCATCGTCATTTACCTCTGCACAATGCTGAATAAAGGCCAGGCGGAAGTGATGTAAGTCTTGCTTTATCCCCTCTAAATGTCATCGTTTTTGTGTGACCAGGCTTCTGTCCTCTTCACACGAGGTGCAGGATAATGATCACCATAGCAGGGGTTTATTTAGCACCTTTGTTCAAAAGAAGTTTATAGAATTGGACTCAGAAAGGTGCAGCTTGCCCTCCAGCGAAGCCAAGGAGAAAATTACACTTAATGCATATTAAACAAGCAATTGTTGGAGATTATGAGCTCGATTGATTCCAAGATCCTAAAATGAGTCAGCTTGCTCCAAAATGTTACCAGCAGCCACTTTAAACATTAATGAGGTAGCTGGTTTCTTACATCTGGAATGAGGAGGAGGTTTTGTTTCAGCCAAGTATTTAACAGAAGAGGAAATACAGTTCTACCTCAGGAAATTTAAATGGGACTGTTGAATAACTGGGAAAGAATGTCTCTTTTGGATGAGAGGGCATAGAAGAAGTTAGCTGATTTTCAGGCAAAATAACAAATGTGATGGCTGTTCTATTTTGTGTATGCATTTGTGTATGTAACTACGTGTAAACTTCTAGAAAAGCAGTTCTTAAGTTTTGTGATCTTATGACCCCTTTCCACTTCTAAAAATTGTTGAGAACTCCAAAGACGCTTTGCTGAACTGGGTTATATCTATCAATTTTTATCATTTTAAGAATTAAAACTGAGAAATATAAAAATATTTGATTCCTTCAAAATAAACCCATTACTTATTAACATAAACATCTTTAATAAACTATGTTTTAAAAAATTATTGAGAAGAGTGTCATTGCTTTATGTCTTTGCAAATCTAATGTCTGGTTTCATAAATGACATCTTGATTTTCATATCTGCTTCTGCATACAGTCTGCTGTTATATGTTGTTTTGGTTGAAGTACACGAAGAGATTTTTGCTCATTCAGACATGTAATTAGGAGAGAGGGGGCCTCTAAGTGTCTTGAAAGGGTCTCAGGGAGCCTTGGGACACACTTTGAGAACCACTGCCCTATAATTTGGAAGAATACACGTTAAAAGTGGCTATCCCTGAGTGGTGAGATTATTAGTGATCCTAATTTTTTTTTCTTTTCATTTGTATAAATTTTCTACAGTGAAGATGGATTACTTGTGCAAATTAAAGTTGAGAAAGAAAGAACATACTCATGTTTAGAGAAGGTTATGAGGCCTTGGAAACCCAGGCAGAGAAGTTTACACTTGGGAAACCAAGGAGCCACCATAATGTTTTAAATGGGAAAATGACCCCATTTGAGCAGTGTTTGGCAGTAAACGGATTAGAATTGGAAGAGAGGAGAAGGAGACACGATACTTCCGAGGTTTTTTTTTGCAGTCATCTGGGTGCGTGGCGCGGGGAGCCAGATCTCGTGTGGGCGGAAACAGAAAGGGACAAACTCTGAAAGCCACTTTGAAACCAGAACAACCAAGACCTGGCTATAGGGCATAAAGGAGAGGGCAGAGTCAAAGATGACTGAGAGTTCTCAAGTTAAAAACACCTGAAGCATGTTTTCTCCCCTCTATGCAACTTTGAACCTTTCCTGAACGTGACCCTGCTGACGCTAACTGGAGTCTTGTCTTCCAGAGTTGGCCATCGCGTTCGAGGGCTGAGGAGGAAGCCGGTGCACTGCCCGACCTGAGTGGATCCCGACCGCCTCCAGAGGGAAGGGCGGGCTGGCCCCTATGACACCCCAGGAGAGTGGCTCGCCGCCCTCCGGGCCGTGAAGGGCGCGCGCCGGGGGTGCGCGCCCGCCGCCCCGCTTATGCACTCCACCACCCCCATCAGCTCGCTCTTCTCCTTCACCAGCCCCGCGGTGAAGCGGCTGCTCGGCTGGAAACAGGGAGATGAGGAGGAGAAGTGGGCGGAGAAGGCGGTGGACTCCCTGGTGAAGAAGCTGAAGAAGAAGAAGGGCGCCATGGACGAGCTGGAGAGGGCGCTGAGCTGCCCGGGCCAGCCCAGCAAGTGCGTCACGATCCCCCGCTCCCTGGACGGGCGGCTGCAGGTGTCGCACCGCAAGGGGCTGCCGCACGTCATCTACTGCCGCGTGTGGCGGTGGCCGGATCTGCAGTCCCACCACGAGTTGAAGCCGCTGGAGTGCTGCGAGTTCCCCTTCGGCTCCAAGCAGAAGGAGGTGTGCATCAACCCTTACCACTACCGCCGCGTGGAGACGCCAGGTGGGCTTGCTTCGCCCGGGCCAGGGTTTATTTGCCAGGGTAAAGCCATGCGCCCCCATTGTTGTTGATGGAGAGTGACGGACCCCCAGCCAACAAGGACCCCTACCCTTGGGTAGAGGACAGGGAGAGAGAAGAGAGGGAGGTCCGGTTTGCAGGAACCGATCCAAAATTTTGTAGTCCGAGAAAATCTGGAAAGAAGATATTTTCTTTCAATATACCTGTAAGCTTTGTGTGATTTTGGAAAATGCAGTTTTATTTGGATGTGTTGAGGATGAGTCAACATAATGTTTTCCCAGTTCTTGGGGCCCTGAAAGGTTTTAAAATGGCCTTGATAATGATTAGCTTGGAGATAGGAACATCCTCCACCCCCCCCCCCAAGTAAAACAAACTGAGCTGTACTAAACTAAGCTAAAGAAGGTTTTTTTGGCTGCCACTTTGGCCCAGATCAGGTAAGTGGAAGGTGTCTCATATCTAGGTCTGAAAGCATCCAATGAAATTGTTGCTTGAAGTTATTCCAGACAGGTTTTAAATATAGTCATGCTTCGCTTAATGACAGGGAAACTTTCTGAGAAACAAATCCTTGGGTGATTTCGTCCTTGTGTGAACATTGTGGAGTGTGCTTACACAAACCGCCTGCTACACACCTAGGCTGCGTGCTGTGCCCTGTAGCTCCTGGTCTGCACACCTGTACAGCTGTAGGCACTTGTAACACGATGGGGAGTATTTGCATATCTAAACAGAACAGGTGCAGTAAATACGTTATTGTGTTCTCGAAGGACCACCGTCCTATCTGTGGTCCTTTCTTGATCAAAATGCCAATAGGGGGCGCATGACTGTATAGGAAAGTACTGTCCTCAAACTCTTCCCACAACAGCATGTGTGTGGACACATATATATTCCACCCCCTCCGCTTTCCAGAGATGTGTGGTGTTTATCTTCGTTCGTTCACACTGGCTGTGTGACAGGGTTTTACTGTGATTTTCTTTGGATTGAGTGTTTCTGTGGCATTCCAGGCAGGAATACGCACTTCATGGAAGCTTTTTCTTGTGCATTGACCATCTGCTTCATTCCAGGAAACCAAAGGGTTGACACATTAGCTCAGGGAAATTCCCCACGTCTCATCCAGAGATGGTCCTGTGTAAGAAGGAAGGCTCAAGAGTTCAGCTAAAACCTTGAATCAATATTGAATAAGTGGTTCGTGCCTGGCTTAAATTAGTTTTAGCTAGGCGAACTTTCAGCCTCCCCAAACTTGCCCTCATGTTGTAAAATGGTCATCACGGAAGTCATCTGCCTGTGTGTGGATGCTTCTCACGGCCACTTCACACAGGGATTGGGGCCCTGTGTAAGAAGGTGATTAAAAGGTCCCACACTCTTGGCAAATCTGAACTCGTTTTTCCCTGAATCATGGAGGTCTTGCTTTCTTCCCTTCTGTCCTGCTCTCTTTGGATTCGGTTTACATACTTAAAAAAAAAGTCAATAATGTTTGTTTATGACAAAAATGACTTGATTTCTTTTTATGTTTCCTGAGATTTGAATTATATCAAGCATCCAAAATACACTCAAATGGAAAAATGTTCATTAAGAAATCACTTCTCTTTTCCTGAATAATATAGTTTTAAAATGTAACAACTTGTAAGAAGTATCTTGTAAAATGTATCTGGTTTTTCTTTTGAATATTCAAAAACCTAATTTTAAAGAATTATTCAATACTTTAGTTTCTCACATTATGTAAGGTCCTTTTAGGAATGATAATGTGACTGTTTTACATATGGTAGATGGATTTCATGTTACTGTACTTTAGGTTTGAATTTCCAGAATGAAAGAAGGTTAGAGATTATATTAATTTAAGGTAATGTTTAAGCTACATAGGTTTTTTTTTTTACTCCTAACTTTAATTTTTTTAATAGAAAAAGTGAATTTTATGTCTAGCTATCTAGCCATGTTCAAAGTAAATATCTTGAGACTAACAAAAATGTTAAGGTTAAAAGTTGGCTCGGTTCCTAATGTTAAAGCTTAAATTTTGACTGAAATCTCTTATTTTTTTGACCATCCATTTTAGGTACTTTGAGGGCTGCATTTAGATTTTCTTTTCATTCATAGGTTCACTTAAATAATCAATTTCAGCACTTCTCAAGCTATCTGTGGTGAGGGACTAGTTTTTGTGTTTTAAATTTCCAGTCCTTCAAATCCATACTTTTACAATACAAATGAATCACTAGGTACATGAAATTTTAAAAAGGCTTATAAAATACAAGGCCAATTTTAAAAATTATTTATTTCAACAGATATAAAACAGGAGCTGTCAAATTGCTATTAAAACTGCCTCAGCACTCATGTCTCCATGGATTGGTACCGAGCAGTTGGTGTGGAAGTGTGTCCGGTCATCGGACCACTCTTTGCCTAGCATGGACCTACTGGAAAACAAAAATGTTTTTCATGGTGCATGATGATTTTACTCCATTTGGCTGTGGTTGTTTTAGGAGTGTAATTTCTCCCTACATAAAATATTCATACTATATCAAAATCACATGACTTTTGAAAAAGAGATAAACATTTTTTTTCAGCTCTGCTTTGCACCTCTGTGTTCCCTCTATCTCCCTGTGTAGCACTGAGATGTAAAGATAGCATGGTATTTAAAAGGTGACATTAAATAGAAACGGATGTCTGTAAGCTCACTCTGTCCTATTTGCAGGCAACGATTGAGATGTGGAAATGGAATTACGTAATTAGGAATAGCTGTGTTTTGAGTGGACGTATTTAAAAATATGATCAGTGCAAATCTAAGTAACCAAGCTGGTCAGGCTAAATAACGGATCAAGGTGATACCATCAGTTTTCTTTGCAAACATTCACTGTTTTTGGTTTCACCCAGATGGTAAAAACATATTTTCAAGATATTTGTTATGATAAAGGAAAATATATCCTTTCTTTTCTCTTGGTGCCTCAGATCTGCAGGCCATGAAGAAATAGAAGCCTCTGGATTCAGAAGGGGGTGAGGCATTATGTTTATCAATGTTAGGAATGCACTGTGAATATCTTACATTCAAGCTACGGTTACAGAGATTCAAATTCTTCTTCATCAAAGAAAATGAGTGTTTATTTGAACATTCTTAACTTTGTGATGAAGAAGTGTCATTGGAAAAAGAAGCCATATGTCATTTCCTCTGTCAACCCCTCCCTTCAGACTGTTTATGAGGCAAGTCATCTTTGTATTCCTGTATAGTCACGAAATACATTAAAGGAAATTCAGTGGCTTATCACCTGTGTCACTTTTGCATGGTGATGTCAAATGTTTGCTCTCTAATGTCATAAGGAAGTGTATGTATGCAAAGACTAGCTTGTAAAGGGGGAAGCAATTGTTTGTTTCTCTGCTCCTCTCACCTGTAGTGGTTTTAGTTTAAAACCTTTCATTTACCCTTTTGAGTTTATTTTCTGTCTATAAAACAAAAAATTATTGCTTGTTAAGAAAGAGATAAATATATGATAGGAGAAGGCCAATGGCAGACTTTGTGGTGAATCTTATTGATACTGTTATTACTATTGTTACTATCTATTCCAAAACATTGACTTTTTTTAAAGACAACTTTTTTAGAGAAGTTTTAGAACATTTACTTTTCATAAAAAGTTCTGTATTAATATGATATTTGCATATGGTGACAAATCAGAAGTGTGATTGAAATAAGAGCCATCCCATCCATTCCCAGAAGCAACCTCTTTTAACCATTTCTTGCTTAGTTCTTTGGTATTTCTCTCCATCATTACTAAAAACTATGGAGTTAAATCTAGATAATATGTTTATACATCTGTTTGCAAATTTATCACATTTAGATGATTTCATTGACTCTCTAACATAAAAGATGAGGATTTAGCTCATTTATATTACCTTCTTCCTGCCTTCCGCTTCTCAATCCTTGATATCTATATTTTAGTTCATAGTTTATATTAATTTGTGGTTATTCTACTGGTTTCTCTTGTGGATTTTGGGGTAGGAATTATTTGCCCTCAGAAGGGCATTGGTCCATTGTCCTCTAGCGGCCAGTATTGTGGCAGAAAGTTGAAGTAGGTTGATTCTCATTTCTTTGTAGTTGACTTTGAGTTGATCCTCTTGGAGCTTTTAGAGTATTCCATTTACCCCTTGATGTTTAAATTTAAGACAGAGTGAGTAGGTCTGCATCTTTTTTCATTAATTGGGCTCTGCATACTCTACGGCTCTTTTTTGTGTGAAGACATAGATACTTTTTAGCTCTCTACAGTTTTCTTCTGTTACTTTGATTACTTCCTCCTTTGTTTTCTCTGCTTCTCTCTCTGGAACTTAGGTTGGTCACAGGTAGCACTCCAACAACATTTATGGAGTACCTCCTTTATGCCAGGCATTGCAACCTTTTAGGAATGCCAGGCATTGCAATTCCTTTTAGGATTCCATAGGAGCTACAAGTGCCTGGGCAAAGCTTGCCTTTGAGAATCTCAGTCCATTCCTAAACTTTGTATGGAATCAAAATCGGGAACACTCACATTCTTTTTAAAGAGAGGAACTCAGAAGGAACATGCTAAAATGAACAAACTTAATTTATAAGTTTTCTTATTGTTGCTTTTACTTACTCACTTTAATTATTCACCATCTATATTTAACATGATAACTTTTCGTCACTCACCTTTAAGTCTTTCCAGTAAGGACAAATAGAATGTTTCTTATTTCGGCAGCACTACTGAGCCTGAAGTTGAGGCAGGTCATCTAAATAATTCAACGTGGTCTTAAAAGGAAAAATATTCTGGGCATCAGGTTTCATTGCAAGCAGTAGAAACCAATTTTGCAATAACAACAACACCAACAACAACAACCCAAAATAGACCTTTATTGGGAGAATTAAAGGAAGAAATAAACAATCAGGTTTCTAGAAGGCTAGGTATTCAGACAGCTCTGGTCATTTCCCAGGTAGGAATGAATAGGCAGTCTCTTTAGAGTGCTGATGTTAGAAGGATCCTCCTCTACCCATTTTCACGAATTGTGACGTTCTGCTTACGATTCAGGCGCAAGGACAAAGACTGTTGGTTTACCTTGACCCTCACGCTCACTTCATGGGTGGAGATGGGACCTTAAGGGACAGTTTCACGATGAGCACAAAAAGTAGCGGAGGGATAGTTCTCGGTGGAAAAACACTTTTTGTCATCAAAAAATAGGCAGCCAAAAAAAGCAAATGTCTGCTATATTCTGTGCTGGTGAGCAGTGTCCAGCTCTAACTCTCCCGTGCCCTTCTGATCCTAGTGCTGCCTCCGGTGCTCGTGCCAAGACACAGCGAATACAACCCCCAGCTCAGCCTCCTGGCCAAGTTCCGCAGCGCCTCCCTGCACAGTGAGCCGCTCATGCCACACAATGCCACCTATCCCGACTCCTTCCAGCAGCCCCCATGCTCCGCGCTCCCTCCCTCGCCCAGCCATGCCTTCTCGCAGTCCCCGTGCACCGCCAGCTACGTCCACTCCCCGGGAAGTCCTCTGGAGCCAGGGAGTCCATATCAACACTCAGGTCAGTAAGAGCTACGGCCCGTGGGAAAATATGGGAAACTAGAACCCAGCGTGATGCGTTATGGTGGGCAATCATAATTACGGTCATAATAACTGACATCTGTATAGTGCTTTACAGTTTACAAAGCATTCTCCTTTAGGTCACTGGACCCTGACACCCTTGGAGATGATCAGGACCATACCCGCCTTGGAGCGGTTACCCTGGAGTGACAGCGTGTTTTTGCTCTGGTTTCTGGTTCTAATCCTCTGGAAGCCCTGAGAAGCTAAATGGATTTGAACAGCATCCCTGGGAATTTCTGAGAATTTTTTTTTTTAAAGGCAATAGAAATAAGATTAAAATACTTCCCTAACTCAAGCAGCTCCAGAATCGATGCTAAGACTTTTCTCTGGCTGCCTCTTTCCACAATCAGAGGGAGCCCCTGCCTGCAGAAGGTGTGTCTGCCACTGAGTGGGCCAGAGAGCAAAACCCCAGCGCCAGCCAGGGCAGTCTCCCTGTTTGCTCTGTGAAGCTAGGACGGTGTGTTGAGTGCGGAGCTCTTTAATTGCTGAATTGAAAAAGCATATGGAAGGGAAAGGGAGAATCTAGCATATTGTCATAATTGCACTTGCTACCGTACCTGTCAAGTGAATCTCAATTGAGATAATGAGGAAATGACTCACATGCACCTCATGAGTTTGAGATAAATACTGTTCACAGCTCACAAGTGCCTATAGGCATGCATAAATGCATTTGCTGCCAGATGTTATAATCAGCCTCCTTCATTTATCCGTATGTTCATTTATTTAGCAGATATTTATTAAACTCTTACAATATGCAAGCATTGCTTTAGGGTTGCTGCAAGGGGAATTAAAAGATTGCAAAAAATTATTCCTGTCCTCAAAGAACTTATCGAATGTGGGAAGATAAAGGGAGCTGCCTCTTCTCTTTTTCAGTTATTTAGTTGTTTTTTTGCCCCCTGAACAAGTTACATTTATCACACTACATCATATATTAATAATTCCATGTGTGTCTATTTCCCCAATTAAATTGTGAGTCTTCTCTTTTCTGTGTCCAGCACAAAACCTGAAACACAGTGGTTGCTCCTCAGTTGCTTATCAGATAGATAAACTACCACACAGGCGCTCGGAACTAGTGCTCAGGACCATAGGTGTAGGTTTCATTGACTCGGTGAGTGATTTGGAGCGTTTGCTAAGTGTCCAGCACTGTGCTAGTGCTAGACGTGCAATGATGATTAAGACCCCTCTCAGTTTCAGTTACCCGAGGTCAACTGCAGTCTGAAAATATTAAGTGGAAAATTCCAGAAATAAACAATTCGTAAGTTTTAAATTGCTTGCTATCCTGAGTATTGTGATAAAATCTTGCACCATCCTGCACTGTCCCACGTAGGACCTGAATTATCCCTTTGTTCAGCCTATCCACACTGTATACACTACCAACCCCCAAGTCACTTAGTAGACGTGTCTGTGATCAGAGCAACTGCCGTGGTATTGCAGTGCTTGTGTTCAGGTAACCCTTATTTGATTTAGTAATGGTTCCAAAGCACAGGATAGTGACACTGGCATGTTGTTGTAATCATTCTATTTTGTTATTAGTTATTGTTACTCATCTCTTACAAACTGCACCTAATTTATACATTTTACTCTATCACAGGTATGCATATATAGGAAAAAAATGTATATGCAGGGTTCAATACTATCGGTCTCAGGCATCCACTGGGGGGCTTGGAACATGTTCCCCAAGGTTATGGGGGGACTCTGTTGGTCTCTGACTTGGTAGAGGCAGTGACTATGGAGAACAATCATGGAAATCAGTAACCTTTTTACCAGGGAACAAGGAAAGTGATTTTTTTAAGGATTACTAAAGCAGGGATGTAGGCTTGGAAAGAAGGCAGTAAATTAGAGGAGGGGGACTCAGGGGACTTGATGTGGGGCGAAAGCAGAGACTGAAGCTCAGGAGTCCTTCATCCAGTGTGGAAGCAGATGACTGGAGTCTTGCAAGTGGCTGAGTTCACTGAGAAAGAGGCACAACAGAAAGGGAAGTCATTTGAGGACAGAGCCATGGTTAAGGGATGGGAGCGTAATTATGTTGCAAGATATATATTTACATACCACACATCTATGCTGTAAAGACTTCCTGTACTGACTCTGAATTCCTGCCCTGGTCACACTGACAGGTTGATATTCTTTCTCCTCTTCCCACCCAAGAAAGGCAAGCCCCAGCAGCCACACCGAAGCTACCTCATTTCTCACGGAAGGCATAGCCCCTTTCATTTCAAAGAAAATAATTATTTTCTGAATGACTAACAGCAAAATGCCAACCTGAGTAACAGACCCATAGATATGAATAAGAGTAAAAGGAATTTTTGAGATTAGCTACTTCAGCCCTTAAAGTTTCTAAACAGCTTTATATATCATTCACATGCCATACAGTTCATCCATTTCAGGTGTATAATTCGACGGTTTCTTCGCATATTGCAGTAATTTTTTTAAGTTGTGGTAAAGTGTATCTAACACAAAATTTGTTGTTTTAACTATTTTTTTCTTTTATTTTAGACAGAGTCTCGCTTTTGTTGCCCAGGCTAGAGTGAATGCTGTGGCATCAGCCTAGCTCACAGCAACCTCAAACTCCTGGGCTCAAGCAATCCTGCTGCCTCAGCCTCCCGAGTAGCTGGGACTACAGGCATGCGCCACCATGCCCGGCTAATTTTTTCTATATATATATATTAGTTGGCCAATTAATTTCTTTCTATTTATAGTAGAGATGGGGTTTCACTCTAGCTCAGGCTGGTTTCGAACTCCTGACCTCGAGCAATCTGCCCACCTCGGCCTCCCAGAATGCTAGGATCACAGGCGTGAACCACCACGCCCGGCCCATTTTAACTATTTTTAAGAGTAGAATTCAGTGACATTAAGCACATTCATAATGTTGAGCAGCCGTCACCACTGTCTATTTTCAAGTCATCACTCCAAACGGAAACTCTATACTCATTAAAGCCATAGCTCCCCATTTCCCACTTCCCAGCCCCTGGTGACCTCTAATCTGCCTTTCTGCATCCATAAATTTGCCTATTCTAGGCACCTCCTAGAATAGGTACAAACATTCTTACTGTATTTGTCCTTTTGTGTCTGGCTTATTTCACTGAGCAGAGTGTTTTCGCAGTTTATCTGCGCGTTGTAGCATGTATCAGTACCTTATTTTTGTGATCGAACAACATTCTGTTGTATGGAGATAGCACATTTCACAAAACCCATTCATCGGTTGTTGAATATTTGGATTGTTTCCGCCTTTTGGCTGTTGTGAATAATGCTGATGTGTTTCTGTTTGTGTCCTTGCTTTCAGTTCCTTTGGTTACGTACCCACGAGTGGAACTGCTGCATCATATAGTAATCTAGTGTTCAGCCGCTTAATTTTCCAGATAGATTTACTGACAGACCCACAAAAAGGCCATCTTGCTTTATAACTTTTTCACTAGGGTCACAATACATTCTCTCACAAGAAAATACCTTATCTGTGGTTTTCTAGTGTGGTCCATGAACCCCTGCATGAGTATTGCCATGAAGGCCTGTTAAAATGTACATGGTGGCAGTGTATGGTGGCTCAAGCCTGTAATCCCAGTACTTTGGGAGGCCGAGGCAGGAGGATCACTTGAGGCCAAGAGTTCGAGACCAGCCAGCCTCGGCAACATAGCAAGACCCTGTCTCTACAAAAAAGTGAAAAAAAGAATTAGCTGAGTGTGGTGGTGCGCACCTGTGGTCGCAGCCACTCAGGAGGCTGAGGCAGAAGGATCATTTGAACCCAGGAGTTGAAGGTTGCAGTGAGCTATGATGACACTACTACACTTAATCCTGGAGACAGAGTGAGACGCTATCACACACACACAAAAAAGTACATGGCTACATCCAGCCACCGATCTATTGAATCATACTTTCTGGGTGTGGGGCCAGGAATCAGCATTTTTAGCAAGCTACCCTGGAAATTTTTGGGCACTTAAGTGTGAGAACTACTTGTATGGACATTTAAATTCAACAAAGGCAGGTTGACCCAAACTTTTATGCCACTGAATTCCACCACTAATGTAACAAGACCACTCTGGAATGTATACTGAAGGAATCAGTTGTTCTAAGGTCTTCCCATAAGAGTTTTCCCTCAGCCTCATGAGTTTTTATTGTGTTATGAATTACTTCCCAGTAAGATGTTATCTACTGAATGTAGCCCATTTGCCTAACCATAATCACTATTCAGTCACAGAACTGATTTTCGGGGAGAAGGGCCCTTCTCAGCATGCTTTGGCACAAGGTTATAATTAGGTTTCAGCTATTCTGTGCTTTGGGAACATATCTTGAAGTATCTCAGGGACAGAGCATCCCTATGACTATTTTACTATCCATGGCAACAGAGGAGCTGAAAATTAAGCTCACTACAAGGAAGGTTTAGCTTTCTCTGTGTTTTGCAAGAATAACAAACTATTCTGCTGTTAAGAAAAGTAAGAAGAACAGCTCCTAGATTTGAAAATTTTATCATGAAGTCATTTGAAATAATGATAACTCATAAGTCAGAGAAAACTAATTGACCCTTTTTAGTGAGAATCTAAATAGCCAGTTTCTTTTGTAGGACAGGGTCACTACAGAAGAGCCTTGTCACATTTATATGGCCTCTCTGTAGCAGTAACACTGTCCATCAAGCCCAGAAGTTTAATGGCAAAAAATGTTGGATCCACTGTCTTTGTGTAGTTTATCAGCTTGACCATTCCTTTGTTCTACTGCTTTCTTTTAGCTGACACACCACCCCTGCCTTATCATGCCCCAGAAGCCCCAGGGACCCAGAATGGCCGGCCTGTAGATGCCAGAACTGATAGACATTTAGTGCTATCAGTACCAAATGGAGGTAAATCGCAGATGGACAACTAAATGTAGCTGCTTTCCAAGAGTGTTTCCCATTACCCCCAAACAAAACAAAATAACAAAATGCATTGGCCTGCTCTTCTGCATGTGTTTTAAGAAGCAGATAGCATGGCTTTGCATTTTAACTTTGGCATTCCTCAGTGCTGTAGAATGGATGTTTTATCATCCTCGTTACTAGAATAAGTTAATTTTTAATTTTAACCTGGCATGTAGAAGTTTGTAGTTCCTGATGTTTAGTGTGGAACTGGGAACTTAAGAAGTTAGAGGTTTTGTTCTATTTGTGTTTTTACTACAGATTTATAGTGGTGTCTTTCATTTGGCTAGGGAGTGCTCTTATAAATATACATAAATAAGGTGTATATACAATTTGATTTGCATCTTATCATAGGCTAGATAAGTGTTGCTCAACTTTGATATTCATATAAACCATGTGGTGCTTTTGTAAAAATGCAGATTTTGATTCTTTAGATCTGGGGTGGGGTCCAAGAATTTGTGTTCCTAAGAAGCTCCCAGGCTACTGTTCCATGAACCACATTTTGAGTGGACGGGCTCTAAAGCAGTTTACTATTTAAATATCCCAGAGTGAATTCTTTTATAAGTGAAGATCCTTTTGTAAGTCAAATAATAACCTCTTTAATTTATTTATTTTATATATTTATATTTTAGTGCATATAGGAACACACTCTAGAATTGCTAGGATACTCAAAAAAAAGAAAGGTGTAACATACAAATCAATAGAAAGGCAGAGAAATCATGTGGGTGGCAAAGAAAAAAAGAACTCTGAACTATGGTTGGTTATAGGAAACTTCTTAACTTTAAAATTTGGAGTGAAAACATGATATTGATAGGGTTCCTAATGAAATATGCAGCTTTAAAATATTTGTATGCCATACATAACTAGATGTCCTGTATATACACGAAGGAGAACATGAGCCCCTTTATGTGGACGTTTTTCTTTTTCTTAAATAATTTAAAGTTCTATTCAGTGGTTTGGGTTTGGTTTTTATCACATCGAAACTATTATTTCTTATCTTTAGTTTGTTATAAAATGACACTGTTTGCCACAGGGAATCAGTTTGGAACAGTAATATGCTACCTTTAGTATGTAAAGAGGAGGGGACCTGCCAACTTCCTTTTAGCTGTGTTTGCTTTAGGGTTGATCATTTTTTACATCGATCTGTTCACACTGTCTTTCCCCCTGGCCCCCTCCTTGCCCATACACATGTTTACAAATGCTCCAGCCATGGACGACTAGCGACCATCCTGACCTCCGCCCCTCAGGTCTGCAAAGCAAATGAGCTAACCCCACACAGCTTCCATGAAAGTGACAGGCTTTAAAAGATTGCAGAGCCACCTAGTTGGTCTTGAGGTTCCCTTCCTGGCTAAAAGCATTAATGTGGGTCTCCAGGTCTGGAGTCATGAGCCCTCGAAGCCCGGGTATGACAGTAGTGACGTGCCATCTGGTTTGTTTTCTTGCAGACTTCCGGCCGGTTTGCTACGAGGAGCCCCAACACTGGTGCTCGGTCGCCTACTATGAACTGAACAACCGCGTTGGGGAGACGTTCCAGGCCTCCTCGCGAAGCGTGCTCATCGATGGGTTCACTGACCCTTCCAATAACAGGAACAGATTCTGTCTCGGCCTTCTTTCCAACGTAAACAGGAACTCAACGATAGAAAACACCAGGAGACACATAGGAAAGGGTAAGAGCAAACATGTCATTGCTTTGTAAGGTCTTCTGAGCTGAGATGTGGAAATAGGAACCAGTCATCACCTATTGGTCGTGTAGCCCTGGGGAAAGACACCAGGGCAGGCGAACTGTGGGGACAGTCCTGGTGTGACCATCAGAGAGAGCACACAAGCTTTCGGGATCTTAGTCTCTCTGCCTCTGAAGTCACCCGTTGGGGGGTGGCATGAAGTGAGTATTGTGAAAACAAGGTGACAAATATGGAAGCAACATGAAATTATTGAATGGAAGTATTATGCATTCTTCTTGAATTGCCTAAAGTTGCTAAGATCACTTCCAAAGAAGAGGAATTCTGACTGGATGCTTATTTATATGAGGTAAAGTTCCCTTTGGAGACTTAGAAGCTAGGTAGTTAGAAATAATGACTGATCTGTACTTGCGATTGGAAATCTCTTGCATCCAGGCGATTGTTATGACAGTCGATTGGGCAAAGGCCACACTGGCCTCTGATCAGTGATGCTTTTAAATCCCACCTCTGCACTGTGAGCAATGATGGCAAATCCCAGCTGAATATGAGGCCTCGTTGAGTATCTTTAAATTATTTTCTTATATATTAGAACAGGTAACATCTTTGAGTGATGCTACTCTGGAGTCACCAGTATAAAGGACCTTCAGAGTCGTTTGATCTTTTCTCTCTCCTTCCCACACTTAAACCACCTTGAGAAGGTAGTCTTGAGCCTATTTTTTTTTCAAATTTCCAGGGAAGATTTGTTATTCCACTTGGTGATACAAATTTTCTTCCTAACACACCTCCTAAATGTCTCCTGTTGTAGGAAACCTACATGCCATTGTTAGAAACAGGCTGAATTTTTTCATTGATGTTGACTCTTAATGGAGACTGTTACTTTATGCTTATTTATATTCTGTTTCTTTCCATAGTGGCTTTTAGCAGCTTATAAGAAACCTTGGCAGTGAGATGATAAGTGAAAACTAGAAAATCAGGCCAGACATGGTGGCTCATGCCTGTAACCCCAGAACTTTAGGAGGCGGAGGCAGTATTGCTTGAAGTCAGGAGTTCAAGTCCAACCTGAGAAACCTAGCAAGACCCCATCTCTCCACACCCTGCTAAAAAAAAATTAGCTGGGAGCTGGGAGTGATGGTGTGGACCTGCATTCCCAGCTACTCAGGAGGCCGAGGCAGGAGAATCGCTTGAGTCTGGGAGTTTGAGGTTACAGTGAGCTATGATTGTGCCACTGCACTCCAGCCTGGGTGACTGGAGTGAGACCTTTTCTTTCTCACTCTGTTGAGAAAGAAATAAAAAGAAAAAATAGAAAATCAGAAATTGGGTTGGGGGTAGAAGAGAAGAATCCAAGTAGGTCATTGTGACTGTGGTTGTCATTTTGCTCTGGGTTTCCCGACAGGGAGGTCAGAAAGGGGAAACTCACTCTGTCGTGTAATTTTTATCTCAAAGGGGGACATAGCTGTTCTTCAAAGGAAATAGTCCTCTTACTTTGATTGAATTCTTAAACAAGTTTCTCAGGCCTGGCTTTACTTTCAAATGATTTTTATAAGAATCTTCAGTGACTGTGATAGCACAACCCAAGTGACTATCCTCACCAATAAGTTAAGGATACTTTAAGATAAGAGTGGAACAGGAGTGTTCCTAACACAAAGAAATCTAAAATGCCTGAGGTAAGGGAGACCCCAATTACCCTGATTTGATTACTTCACATTGCATGCTTGTATCAAAACATCACATGTGCCCTATAAAATATATACAACTCTTGTGTACCCATAATAACTAAAAATAAAAGTTACTTTGAAATTAAAAAATAAACTTAGATACAACAGACGTTTCTGGTATAAAAAAAAAAATAAATAAACTTAGAAAAAAAGAATCTTCAGTGAAATCTAAAGGCATAACATTCACAGGTAGCTTTGTGGAGCTATTTGCTAAGGGCTTTGCAGGTTGGTTTCTGCCTTAAACTTCTGCTGGTGCCAGCGGATCCAAAGACAGGATTAAAATATTAAAGGAACACTGAAAAGTTTCTGGGAACCTTTCTGCAGTTAGCTTCTTCGAGCTGTTCCTGATGAGGACGTGCAGAGTAGACGTTCTGTGTTGGGGACTGACTGAGAGCTAATCCGCAGGGTTAAGTAACCGTACGAGCGGGACTGATGACTTATTCTCAAAACCGGAATGCCCATCCGTGCTCAGCTGGAGGGAAGGGCACTCAGTCTCAGGTAATCCCTAAGGCAGAGTAGTCACAGTTTTCTCAGAAAGCTGCTTAGGAATTACTCTAATGTAGAATTCTTTTTCTTTTTCTTTTTCTTTTTTTTTTTTTTTTAGAGGAGCTACAAGCCATGCCGTAAAGCATAGTAGAAAAACGGGTTGGCTTAGGAGATTTTAAAGCAAGGGCTTGTCACTCTTCTGTGCGATCACGGGACGCTGTCTCGGGTGCTGCCTTGGTTATCTGGTTCTGAGCTGCCTGGCTTTCTGGAGCACCAGCCCCAGTAAGTTAGCTGCACAGCACTCCTAGGTTAGCGAGTAAGTTAAGTTGCTCTGCAGAGTTAAGTAATAGAGACACTTAGATTTTAGAGATAGGCGTTCATCTTATCAGTGTTTACCGAGCATATACTCTCAGCCGGACTGGACACTAGCGGTGCAGTAGGGAGACAAGGACGAACCCCCTTGCTTTCATGGTTAGGTGCTGCTGGGGAGAAGACACACAGGGAACACCGTATAGAGTAGGTCCAGCACAGAAAAACAAAGCAGGGGAAGAGAATGGGGCCTTTAGGCCGGCGTAACCAGGGAAGGCCATACTGAGAAGGTGACATTTGAGCAGAAGGCTAGCCAGGGAATCAACAGTGGGGACATCTGCGGGGAAGCTTTCCCAGCAAAGAGAACAGCAAGTGCAAAGGCCCTGCACCCGCCTGGCTTGTCGTGAGGAAGAGCTGGGAGGCCCTGCGTGGAGCAGAGGGAGGGGACAGGTCGCAGGAGCCTGGAGTCTGTTTGGAGGGCTTTGGCTTTCACTCTCTGGGAAATGAGAAGACAGATCTAGGTTGAGGAGTTTATACCGTCTGAGTTTATGCTTCAAAAGGCTCCCTGGCTGCTCTATTGAGATTAGACTGTAGGTGGGCAAGGGTAGAAGACATGTACAAAACTACATACATATATATATATATATATATATATACACACACACACATATTTTAATACTTAGTAATAAGCCATTTTCCCTTTCAGTAGTCATCAATTAGCTTTGAGGCAACTTCTAGCTTTTGTTCCTTGTGATTTAAAATGAGCTAAGATGGCTGGTCCTCCTTAAGGAGGTGACATCACTACCCTGTTGGCAGCGCGTGTGCCGAGAGTTGTGTTTGCTCTAGCAGTGACGGTGTATCCGGTTCACCTGCACGCTTTCCCCGCACTGTCAGGTGGTGGGGCTGACAGGAGGCATTTATGAACATTTGTGGCCTTGCAACAGTTAACTGGTGCAAAGGGATTGAACCTACTGCCTTGACCGCACTAGCCAAGTGCTCTGACTAGCTACTAACCGGTTAGCGCTGGCATACCGAAGGCCACCGCTTGAACTGTCTTCAGTGATATGCTGAATAATAGGAAGGATGATAACGATGGCGACGATGATGATGATAGCTACCCACGTTGGTCACGTAATATGCGTGAGGCACCCTGGCATGCACTTAGACACAGGTTATTTCTAATCCTTATAATAACCCTACAAGTTAGGTTTTATCAGTCCCATTTTACGGCTGAGACAGTTGAAGCTCAGAGGGCTTGGTAACTTGCCCGTGGTCACGTGAGGGATGCCAGGGACTCACACCCACGTCTTGGTCTCAGGCTGCTGCTGGAGGGGACAGACCCTCCTGCCCTTCTATCTTGTCACCTCTCCCAGGGCATTGCTTGTAGAATCGAATCCGTGTGCTGCACAGTGATGTGTCAGCGTCAACTCCGTCATGTTGAAAGAAAGCCCAGATAATAATAATAATAAAGTGGGGACATTTTTACTAGGATTTACTTTTAAAATGTAAATCAGAGAAAGTGTTATGTCTTCCTTACAGAAATATTGTGCTAGAAGGGGAGAACTGCCCTGAGATTTACCCCGGCCCCCCGAGTACCTCTGTCGGGGATTATAAGGGTCTTTCCAAGAAGAAAAAGACAAAGAACTGCTGCCACATGGTGCCATATGTGACTGCGCAAATAAAGCAGAGGGCGCCTGATGGTTCGGGAATGATGTCACAGCCTAGGTGACTGGAGGGTCATCTTTTTAAAGAGTGGCTTTTAAGATGGCCCCGATTCCCAAATAATTAGGCAAACCACACGCCTGCATGAACATAGACCTTGAGGTAGGATTACATTTCTTAGGGACCCGTGACTTAATGTAATCACAATCAACAGTACGTTTCTTAGCACTTGTGATTTCTGACGTGACTTAAGTTAGCTCTGTTAACCCTCAGCGTGAGCCTGCGCCAGGTGCTTGGTATGCAGCGACACCGAGCAAGACAGGCTCGTGGCTCTTGTGCAGGCGTAGACGTGTTGTATTCGTCCTGCCTGATGTCTCTCCTTCCCTTCCTGGGAGAGAAAGTGGATAATCATGGTAATTCCTGAGGCATTAACCTCAGTTATGGCAATTTCTGAGGTAAATCAAGAGCATCTTGAAAATAATTATCACATATTCCAAATCATCCAATTGTTTTTGAAATTGGGATTTTTTAAAAAACTTTTCTGGGAATCTTTATTTTCTTGGAAGTCTCTGTGGAATTCCAGTATTTCTTCCTGTTTTATGAAAGGGATTATCCTGATATGATGAGTGCGTTGGCCAGTTTCTTGGAAAGACGGTCTGCACTTCCAGGTGTTGTTTGGATTGCTTTCTTTCTCAATGCATTTAGTTTCCATCTCAGAATATCCTTCTAGTCTATCTTTGAACATGTGTAAGGCTACTCATATTTATTTAAAAACAATTTTTTTCCCTCTCCCCCCAAGGCTACTCATCTTTAAAAAAGCAAATCCTAAAAAATATTTTAGCAAAGGATGTCATACTCTTGCAATCGTTAAACTTTATGTTGCAGAGTACTTAATAGCTTGAGAAAATATTCACAATACATTATTAAATGAAAAAAAAAAGTTTTAAAACATCCTGTAGAGTAAGTATGATCGTAATTTTATTTTTAAAAATTGCACATAAAAGACTGGCCCAAAGGCGACTTCGTGTGAGTTAGGAAAGGGTGCCCCTTTCTCAAGAGAAATGACTGCCATCTGCTGGAAAAGTACTGTAATAATTATACAAAGCTCAGAAGACTATGAGGCAGACCCTGGAGTTGCGCAGTGTGCAACAATGGGCACAGTCCTGTAGAGTACCCACCTCGACCCTCCGACCGAAGCCCTGGTGTGGATCTGGAACTCTTTACTTTCATATATTTTTTTGATCATACATTAAAACATTTTCTTATTGTAGGAAATTTCAAGTGCACACGAAAGTAGAGGAGTATAATGAGTCTTCATATTACCGTCTCCAATATGCTTCAATAATGATTCCCACGCTCTGCCCTTCTTTTTCATCTATCCTGTCATAATATTTTTGCTAGAATATTTCAGAGCAAATCTCAGACTTTATATGTTCTCCCATCTATTTGAGTATATAACTAAGGAATTTTTTTAAATACCATAATGACACCCAGGAATATGTATTTTCTTAAAGCTTCAGCTGATGCTGAGAATCAGCCCGGTTTTAGAATAGCTGCGTGGAAGGGAAGGCAGCAAAGGCAAGGGGAACACCAGTTACAAACTCAAGAGAAGGTGCTGGGTTTGTGCTGGTTAATTTAGGCTTGTCCTAAGGAGGGTCTCGCATCAGAGTCCGGTGGGCAGGGCGGTGGCAGGATGCACTCCGCCCACCATGGTGATCCGTTCACCTGCCTCCCACCTGCTCACTCCTTCCACTTTGGGACACCAACTTCCTCCTCGATTAGTAGATTGCAGAGCACTGGACTGCTCTCACAACCCACCTAATCTGTGCTTTTCCCAGTCCTTTTCCAGCCATTTCAAGACGACAGAAGAGGATTAAAGGGGACACACTTGCAGTCCCACCCAGCAGACCCGATCGAACTCAGGGTGCTCCTGGTCCTAATTCACCACAACACCAGGACTCCAAACTCCCCAATCCCATAAAAAGTGGGGGGCAGTCACACCTATTTCTTGGCAAGTTCAGATAAAGACCAAATGGAAATGCGGTCCAAGGTGTGAACAGAACCTGAAGAGCTCAGTGCCTGGGTTTCCTTCACCATCTCGGGTAGTACTTGCTTTGGGGCCGTTATCCTTATTGTGGGGGTAGAACGGGCTGTGGGATTGTGGCAGTGGCTTTGTTTTCCACTTCTAAAGCTTCCCTGTTACAATAATTAACAGGTTATTGGCATACTTTATTGCACCAATAATAGGTATGGTGTCACTCTTAAGCATTTCATACAGAACTGTCATCCTGGAGTCTGCAGTAAACTCTGCACGTGTTCATTTTTTTCCTGTATCGATTGAAAGGAATGTCACATAAAACAGTTCACAAATAGCAACTTTCAGTGAGGTGAAATTCTGAAATAGGTATAAAAACTCCTGCTAGTATTCACAAACAGAATGGGATAATGAATTCTGTGGACCTCTTGTCTGAAAATAGTTGCCAAGTATCACGTGCTTTAAAATCCAGCCCTTCCAATTCCAGCACTGGCTTGTACCCTGGCCCAAGCTTCTCATCGGTGCTTCTCAAAGTGTGGCAAAGCGAGACAGCATCAGCCTCACCTGGGAACTTGTAGGAAATGCAAAGTGTTGGGCTTTGCCCCAGACTGAAGCAGTGATCTGTTTTTGTAATAAGCCCTTCACGTGATTCTGGTGCAAGCTACAGTTTGAGAACCACTGTTCTATTCCAGGGTGATCTTGAATATGATACATGTGAATTAATGCCACTACTTTGGCCTGCCAGGTGGGTGCAAGTCAAATCCTTTGCTGGCCGGGCAGGTGGCTCACACCTGTAATCCTAGCACTCTGGGAGGCCAAGGTGGGAGGATTGCTTGAACTCGGGAGTTTGAGACCATCCTGAGCAAGAGGAAAGACCCCGTCTCTACAAAAAATAGAAAAATTAGCTGGGTGTCATGGTGTGCACCTGTGTACACAGCTACTCGGGAGGCTGAGGCAGGAGGATTGCTTGAGCCCAGGAGTTGGAGGTTGCAGTGAGCTGTGATGATGCTACTGCACTCTGCCGGGTGTGACAGAGTGAGACTCTGCCTCAACAACATCAACAAAAAATTGTTTGCTTGCTGGACTCTTTCAATGCTGCTGTCTCTGTCCCAAACCCAGCCTCCTTCACACAAAGGTCAGTTCTGCCCTCTCCTGGCTTTCAGAGCAGCCTCCTTCCTTCTTCTCCCTCAGGACACTGAACTGCTGCCTACCTGCCCAGCCTCTCCTCTGCCGAAGTGTGCTGTGGTTGGGGATTGAAAACCACCCCCTAAATAAAGACCGGAGTCATATAACAAAAATCTTATCTGTTCTACATGATAGGGTTGGGGAGGATTATGTATTGGAAGGTCATTCAATTCAAATTCCTACTCTACTCTGGTGATGCAGCCAAGTAACTATGTTCCCCTGGTAGGACCAGCCTTCTACCTGCTGGGCACAACCACCTGGCCTCGGGTTTCAGGCCCAAGGCCATGCAGGAAAGTAAATGACGGAGCTGAGGAAGAGAGGGTTGAGAGGAAGGCTGAGGGAGAGGAGGAGGGGAAGTTAATGTTCGAAGTGACAGGGGACCTTGGCCTGAATATTCAGAGCTGGGCTGCTTCTGTGTGACCCTAGGCCAGTTTCTTCAGAGTGATGTGACTGGAATATAAAATACTCAGAATCATTCTTTTCTAAAATTTTATTAAGGGAAAATAGACGGGAAAAGGAAATAATAAATATGGCAGGAGGTGGTCACATAAATGTAAAATTGTCATAAGTGCCACTTAGAACCTGACAAAGACACTCTGAGCAGCTACATCAGGAATGTTTCTTAAATCCAAAGTTCTGCACAAAGTTCTTCCATTCTGAAACGCCCTGGAGGTCTGTAAGTTCTATTCTTGATAAGAGCTGAAGACTTTTTTTTCTACTTAAAAGTTGGAGATTTTCCTTGAAGTGGGAGGTATGAAAAAGAAAGGTTGGGGAAAAATTGTTCTGGTATTTAATATTTACTAGACTAGAAGTTATTTTATCTAACTCCAGTCCCTTGCTATAAATTTCTGTTGAGTCTCAAACCCAGACAATTGGAGGGAAAGAATCAACTAAAATTTAATTTGGAATGGAAATTAGCATGAACAGCAACTTTCTCAGTGTACTCTTTAGAACTTTAATTCTAAGAATGTGAGATAAAGTGATATAAGCTACATTTTGCTTGTGAATTTTGATATTATTATATCTGAAAATGTGGTGGAAATTTCACTGCTCACAAGTAAAAAATAGACAATTTATGATTTATATGAGTGGGTAATGGACTTTTAAATGAAATGAGTCTCTTTGAGGTATTCGTTAAGAGAAATAGATTCATATCTGTTGGTAAATTAAAATTCAAATGTCATTTATTGTCTCCTCTGCAGTGGGTTTAGTGTATGCACTTAAGTAACATTTTCATACTAACTGTGTCCAGTTTAAAATTTTCAAATTAGTATATGTATATGAAGGTTTATTTAATTTTTTTTCTGGCATGATATATTTATTTCGTTTCTGATATTATGAAGCCTTCATTTTGAAACAAACAGGAGATTGAGAGAGCGATGGGAGAAATAGTACTGGGAATGATTAACATGGGTTGCAATCCACTTTTGAAGGGATTCATGGAGAAAGTACAGATTGTGATTAAAAGCAGTGGCATTTGGGTCACACATTTTACTCACCTTTGCTCGGTGATTCTGACAGTGAACCTGACGGCAGAGACTTAACATCTCTAGGTTAGAAGAGTCAGTGGGAAGGGCACAGTGTGAAAGAGCACGTGAAGGCAGGCTGTGTTTTTGTGTCTGCAGGTGTGCACTTGTACTACGTCGGGGGAGAGGTGTACGCCGAGTGCGTGAGTGACAGCAGCATCTTTGTGCAGAGCCGGAATTGCAACTATCAGCACGGCTTCCACCCGGCCACTGTCTGCAAGATCCCCAGCGGGTGCAGCCTCAAGGTCTTCAACAACCAGCTCTTTGCTCAGCTGCTGGCGCAGTCAGTGCACCACGGCTTCGAAGTCGTTTACGAGTTGACTAAGATGTGCACCATCCGAATGAGTTTTGTTAAGGTAAGGGAGTGCTGACTGTCAGATCACAAAATGGAAAATGATCAAACAAAACAAAGAAGCATTCTTTGGTTGATGTGGCAGTTCTACAGCCAATTCTGACAGCAGCTTTTGTAAATTCTATTAATACTAGGAAGAGTTCCTCTGTGAGTATGAACTGTTTTCTTCAGCATGTGTATGGAAATTCTTACACATGTTACTTTTGGAGGAAAAACAACTCAGGTGTCTATCTCATTGTTTTTAATGCAGAAGATAAAGTGACAATAATAATTTTATAGGACTAAATGCTACAGAGATTTTTTCCACCCTTCAAATTGCTAAGCACACTTATCACTCAGGGAATGTTGGTGAATTTAAACTCAATAAGATCACTCTGCTTACTCTTAGAAAGCATACAGTCGAACCGAGGAGATAATACCCATAGGTAAACTACAAAATAGGCAGAACTGGCTCTAATATAAGACAGTATAAAATAAGTGCTATTATAAAGGTATAAACAAATTGGGATGGAAACATTTGGTGAGTGTGATTAATTCTGATATGGTAGTACATGTTATGCTTATGAATATGTGTTGGATTTCTCAGAGAACCAAGAAAGTTTCTTAGCAGGAAGGAAAAACAACTGGATTTGCACATTGAAGCTGAAGGCTTCAGTTTCATCATCTGCTATTTTATCTGTTGCAAAATGCTCAGAAATCTTTCTAATATTTCAAAATCTGAGCTTGTTTATCAAACTGTCTGGGTACATGTGACGCAGTTTCCACAATGTCATATAGCAAGCCCAGGAGTCAGTATGGCTTGCTTTTTCAAAGTAAATTTTTTTTAGCTCTTTAAAATTACCTTGACAGGCCAGGCGCAGTGGCTCACGCCTGTAATCCTAGCACTCTGGAAGGCCGAGGGGGGTGGATCGCTCAAGGTCAGGAGTTCAAAACCAGCCTGAGCAAGAGTGAGACCCCATCTCTACTAAAAATAGAAAGGAATTAATTGGCCAACTAAAAATATATAGAAAAAATAAGCTGGGCATGGTGGCACATGCCTGTAGTCCCAACTACTTGGCAGGCTGAGGCAGGAGGATGGCTTAAGCCCAGGAGTTTGAGGTTGCTGTGAGCAAGGCTGACGCCACAACACTCTAGCCCAGGCAACAGAGTGAGACTCTGTCTAAAAAAAAAATATTACCTTGACAAATAATTGTCCTATTTTTAAAATACTTAAATTGTGTTTTTATTGTATTTATAATTTTAATAATTACTTTCAAAGTAAGAATCAAGAATATAGTTTGAAATTTCAAAAATGACTTCTTGAAATCATTTCTCTTTTATGATGACAAAGAAGTTTTATTAGAATTTACAGTTTGTAAAGCTTACGTTATAAAGCAATTAATAAATACCTGGAAATCTTTTCAAATGTTCTGTTGCTTTAGAGCCAGCAGAGGGCATTAAATTGCCATTAATGAACCATCATTTGACTTGTTTTTTTTCCAGGTCTGTGTTTTTAAAATTAGGATGAAATGCCAATATCTCCTAGGTAATTACTTCACTGTAGTTAAATATAAGCTTACATAGAAAGCTGATTTTCTTAGTATCAACTAGATGTATTTCTCAAGTATGCAACATTTAAATTTATCAAGCTACACAATTTGCAGAAAACAAACTTATATTGCATGGACTTTAAAAAATATTTAATACATATAACTATAGATGATCAGTCTTAAAAATTATACATGAGTGAACACTCATGGCTACTACTGGGGGTGATGGATCAGATCACCTTTAAGATCTCTTTCAGCTCTGATTTCTGCTGATTCTAAACTGATTCATTCAGCCAGTCAACAAATACCTACTGAGCCCCTGCTTGCTGTGTGCCAGGCCAGGTGCTGTGGTACGTGTTGGGACACATCAGTGATTACTCACAAAGTAATGCTGAGTCTAGTTCAGCTGAAAGATGATGGGGGAAAAAGAAAAGAAGTGAAAAAAAGGAAGGAAGGAAGGAAAATAAGGAGATTATCCATTGGATTTCAGTTCTGTTGAAATAGTTGAGTCACTAAATCAATTTAAGTTTCATTAATGAGCTGTAAACTTTCAAAGTGTTGGTTTTAGCGATTCTATAACATTGCTGATTCCAAGTGAACACATTTGTAACCATGAGAACTACTGTCTTGGAGGCAAAGGGAGGTGAAGAACAGCTGTGGCCACACTGTTGTCTAGTTGTGCTTAATGCAGAGCCATAGTGAATAGGGAATGGTAAGAGTTCTGTGGCAGCCTACATCAGTGTTATGCTTTGCTTAAAAAGTTACTAAAATATTGAGGAAACACTCCCTTTTTGTATCAGAGTTTTGGAAAATAATTATGATCTACTGAAGTTAGTAAAAAGATATAAACTCTAAACAATTACGTAGAAATGTTTTAAACTTTTGTTCATGCTTTGAGATTACTTTTTCAGTGTATAATGCTTGAATCTAAAAAAAAAAAGAAAAATAGATTACTCACAGATCTCTGCCCTCATGAAACCAATATTCTAGCATCACAAAGAAGGTGGATGGAAAGAGAAAACCTAGAGCAGGGTGAAGGGCGTGGGAGTGGGGGTCACTACAGGGCAGGCCTCATGGAAAGGAGAGCTTGCGAGAAGACTCTTCAGGGCTGTCTGGGGAAGAGCCGCAGAGGCAGAGGGAAGAGCAAGGAAGAAAGCCCATCGGCAAGAGGAAGCCTGGAAATTGGGAAGAACAAGCTGGGGCGGTGAGATCAGAGCAGCGACAGGGAACCCAGAACAAGGCTTGGGCTTCCTAAGCCACAGCGGTGAGATCAAAGCAGCGACAGGGAACCCAGAACAAGGCTTGGGCTTCCTAAGCCACAGCAAGGAGTTTGGCTTTTACTCGAAAGAACTAGGGAGCCTTTGCAGCGAAGGGACCAGAAGATTTTCATGATCAGACTTCTGTTTTTAAAGGATCACTCTGTCTGCTGTGTGGAGAGCAGATATTATGCAGGTGAACGCTGTAAGGAGGGAAACCAGGTGGGAGGCTGTTGCAATATTCAGGTGGGAGATGACGCCGCTCCCACCAGGAGAGTCCAGTAGCACTTGTCAGAAGGGGACAGATTCTGAATTGTGGAGGCAGATTAGGTGTGGGGTGTGAGAAAAAGAAAGGAGTTGGAAGGATGAAGTTAGTTGCCTTCAACCAAGATGGAGAAGATGTAGGTGTCTCAGGCTTGCAGGTAAGGTTAAGAGTTCCGTTTCAGTGATAACTTTGCCATGTCTGTCTCACATTCAGGTGGCGATGCTGAGTAGGCAGGTCAATGAGAGTCTGATTTTGGGAGAGAGCTCCGGGCTTGAGATTTAATTTGGGAATTACTAGCATCGGGATGGTTCTTAACTCCGTGAGTTCGAATGAGAACATCGAAGGTTTGCGTTGAAACAGAGAAGACAAGGGGGTTCTGGAACTGAGGCCTGGGACACATCAACATTAAAAGATGGGGGAGGGCCGGGCGCTGTGGCTCACGCCTGTAATCCTAGCTCTTGGGAGGCCGAGGCGGGCGGATTGCTCAAGGTCAGGAGTTCGAAACCAGCCTGAGCAAGAGCGAGACCCCGTCTCTACTATAAATAGAAATTAATTGGCCAACTGATATATATATAAAAAAAAATTAGCCGGGCATGGTGGCACATGCCTGTAGTCCCAGCTACTCGGGAGGCTGAGGCAGAAGGATCACTGGAGCCCAGGAGTTTGAGGTTGCTGTGAGCTAGGCTGACGCCACGGCACTCACTCTAGCCTGGACAACAAAGCGAGACTCTGCCTCAAAAAAAAAAAAAAAAAGATGGGGGAGAAGAGAAAGAACCAGCAAAGAAACTAAGACCATCCAGTGAGGTAGTAGTAGGACCAAGAAAGTCTGGTGCTTTGGAAGCCAAGAAAAGACAGCTGCATTGAGGAGGAGAGGGAGTGATGAACTAAATCAAATACTGCCCACACGGCATGAAGGCAGAGAGCTGATCCTTACTTTTAGCAATGTAAAGGTCTTTTTTGATCTTGACCAGAAAAGTTTTCTTGGAGGCTGGGGTAAAATGCTGATTGGAATGGATTTAAGAGAGAATGGAAGGGGAGGAATTGAGAAAGCCAGCATGGACAAGCCTTTTGAGGGTTTTTGCTAGAAAGGGGATCAGAGACACAGGATAATAACTGGTGGGGGCAGGAGAACCAAGAGAAGTATTCTGGAGACAGGATATATTTCAGTGTATTCATATGCTGATGGGAATGAGCTAGTAGGAGCCAAAGATGGTAGGAGAGAATGGGGAGATTTGGTGGAATGATGTCCCTGGGAAGAACAGTGAGTCTAAATAACACATAAATGGTTGGACCAGCTTATTTGGAAACACAGATTATTAATCTATAGTAAGAGGTAGAAAGGCCAGGTATGTGGGTGCAGGTGCTGTGGAAATTCTCATTTCTTATTGCTTCATCTTTCTCATTAAAATAAGAAATAAGATCATCAGTTGCAGATGTAGATGGGGAGTAGCAGTTATAGGCTTTGGGGGGTGGAGCAGTTGGCTAGGAGGAAGGATGTGACAACAAAGGGACTTGGGGGTGCAGGGTGCCTGCCAGGTGGAGTCAGAGGTCCACCTGAAGTTCATGGGCATGAATATAAAGTTTGACCAGGCTGCATGGTTGTGGTGAAATACAGTTTTGAACCACCTCTACAGAGAATCACTGCTACCAGTAACAAAACTGATTTGCTTGGCTGTGATCTCCCTTCATTTTTAAAATAATTTTTCATTGATGTATGACATACAGAGAAAAATATACAAACATATTATTTCTTTTTTATTTTTGTCTCTTCTATGAGTGGTGATAAATGGGAAATTGCCACGTGAGTCAGAGAGAGGAGAGCAAGCTTTGATAATCAACCCTGAAAAATCGAAAGCGCCTTCCAGTTCTCTCTTTATGACCTTCAGATCCAATCACTGGTCTGTAGTAACCATTTTGTGCAAAACGCTGTCTTCCTCTCATCAAAGGGGTGAACATAAGGTCAGGTCTCTTCCCTGTGCAAGGGAAAATGATTTGCCACTGTTTCCCATGGAACTAGAGCCCCAGAGCATCTCTAGGTCCAAGTATTGCATTGTGAACCCGGATGGAATGCACTGATTTGGGCCCACTGAGCGTGTCCAGTTGGTACAAGGGTTGTCCTGTCCTTACCGGAAAGTGGAGGTCACGTTCTTTCTCTCTCCAGTCTCAGGAGCTGCCCTGTCTCTGCACCCACCCCCTCCCTGCCAGCTCTGCTCAGGGGCCTGGAGGGTGACTGTTGAGTCTGGCACAATCACTCCCAGCTCTCTTCTTGCCTTCCAGGGTTGGGGAGCTGAGTATCATCGCCAGGATGTCACAAGCACCCCCTGCTGGATTGAAATTCATCTTCACGGACCGCTGCAGTGGTTGGACAAAGTTCTCACTCAGATGGGCTCTCCTCATAACCCGATTTCTTCAGTATCTTAACAGTCATGTCTTAAGCCACATTTCTATAGAGTAGATGCTATCGCAAGCAGTGGCTTATATAATTTCAAATCTGCAACTAACTGAAATTCTAAATACATGTGTAAATACATATAATGTATACTATTCATATTTTTTTATCACCATTTGTTTTGTGCTTTCTAGTTAACCTGTTGCCACTACAGTGCGATTAGAAAGGCAGGCTTTTCCGTGCCTGTTCTATAACAAGAAGCAGATCATTCTAAAGCATGCTGTGTGGCCTCACAGAAATAGTGAAACTGTTTATATAGCAAAAATCAGGTATTAGCAGCACTAGAGCAAATAACACTCTCAGATAAAACAAAGCAGTCAAACTCATATACTTTAAATGATGTCATGTTTAGTGCTATTGGCAAGAAAGAAAAAAAAAAGCTTGTACAATGAATTATGTGAGATAAGCCACATAAACTTTATTTCTGAAACTGACATACCTATAGCTGTGCTGATATTAATGGTACATTTTAAATAAATTTAAACTGTGATTGGAAAAGAAAGAAGCTGTGAAGCTAAGCGTCCATGTTGCCTCAATCTACCACTGTAAAAAGTGAGTCTACTATGGGCAAATAAATACGAAAATACCATGAGTTATTAATATATTCCCAAAGTATAAGACTGAAACTTAGTCCAAGAACCACCCAGGGAGATTCCTGCTTTCCACATAGGAAATCAGGTTCCTGTCGTCCTGGTTGTTCCTGGCAGGCAGTCCTGCAGACTGTAAGTCTGTGCAGTGTACTGTGATAGCATGTGTTTCAGTCCAGTGTCGAGAAGCAGCAGGTGAAACAGAAGGGTAGGACAAACGAAAGTGTCACACATTGGCATACACCGTCTCACCTTCCCATGTCAAGTCTTTAGGTGAGGGTGCTCCTTTTGTCACATTTTCCTGCCTCTTGGCAAATATTATTTGCAGGTTACTAAAGCAACGGTTAAGACTTTGAGAAAATCTACACACATTTTTGGATCAAATTTATGAGTTATTGAACTTAATTAATGTCTCTGGTAATTAAATGATCTACTGGTCAAATCTGGTAGCCTCTGATAAAACCTAAAGTCTTATACCTACAATAAACTCCCAAATACAGTTGATAATAATTTCATAATCCCCCATGACTTCTGGGGAATAGTGATACTGAAAATAGGATTTTTCAAAATATACACAATATTAAGAGCCTTTATTTATTTTCCTTTGGGTGATAGAGGAAAATCCCCCAAATTTTTAGGTACTTTCATATATTTATAAAATTGCCACCCACTAAACACAGCATTGCTTGGAAAAATATTTCACATCCTCTTAAAAATATATTCATTTAAGGTGGCAGTTAGGCTTATAACAGATGGCACTTCAGTAATCTCAACTCTTTCTAGCATTAGTGCACATGGTAGTTGTTTCTCATTAAATTGTATTCAAGGTAGTAATGATCATGTGAAAAAGATATATGAGTGAGCTACTACTGTCACCTCTTGTAATGACTAGTGTTACCTAATAGAAACTTTCATATATACAATAGGAAATAATTACTACGTTTTGCATTAAAACTAGGCGGCCCATTTAGTGTTTAGAAAAGCCTGTAGTTTATTGGTTCATCAACTATGTATTGTGCACCTGTAGGTGCCAGGTACAATGTCTGGTACTGTGGATCAAATGTAAACAAGAGACAGTCCCAGCTCTCATGGAGCTGAGAGTCTAACAGTATCTGTTTGTAGAGACATTTTCATGTTTCAGAAGTTTTAAAATAAAACAAAGCATGTGATCTTTTGCTTGAAAAAATGTAATTGATTTCTTAATTATAATATCTCTATTTTGAAATTTTTATTTCCCTTTTCTTCTGAGCAGTCAAGTTATGGATTCCTTGGATAAATGCTACCATTCTTCCAGGTCTCAAAGTTGTTTTTTTTTGTTTTCTCCCCTTGCTTCCCCATTTTCTGATAATTTCCTATCTCCTCTTTTCTTGGAAAAGGCATCAATATGGTGAGTCTTATATGGGTACCATTCCATGGGAGAGCTTTGAGCACACACAGCTTTGGCTCCAGAGATCAAACATAGCTTTCTTGATCTCTCCACAAGCTGTCAAACTCATCCTCTGGTAGTCTTCTACCTTTACAGAATTAATCAGAACAGGTGATTTATAAATGATATCAAAAACAAGAAACAAAAAACTTGTATTTCCATGCAGCTCTGGGAAACCAGGACACAATACTGCAGCGAATCTGATTTTCTGTGAAAAATAAACTATTCAGTTGGTACATATGATAATCACCAGTCATGTCTCACCAAAAGCTTTTATTAGGATACCTGTGAAATACAGAGAATTTAGAATTGATAAGAAGTTAACCCTTTAGTCATTATAACATAGTAATATTTTAATCAGCTTTTTCTTTTGCCACCAAGACTTCTTAAAAATTGTAATGCAGTATTTGATTTCAAGCTTCTAAATGTGTCACATGCACTCATTTGTTGAGGTAGACAACCCAAAATACTGAATAGCATAATTTTCAGGATAACTAACAAAGCAGACATGCAAAGCCGTTAAATACATCAGCACTACAGAATACTTTTCAGCTTGCCCTGGACATGGACTGTGCAATAGAGAATCCTGTAGTAACATTTCGGCCTGCTCAAGAGACCCCGAACATTTATCAAGATGTTCAAGCCAGTTTTTTTTTCTTGTTAAAAAATTGAGATGTGAAAAGCTTGTTTTAACTAGATGATATTTTAACAGTGGCCAGTACTTTGGAACTATAAAGATGTCACTATTTAACACATACTTTATGTTTTGTTAATTTTTTTTTTTACACTCAGTATAAATCTGGATAAGTTGGCTCACCACCTAGCATTTAGAATCCTCTGTGTCATTGTCTTCTAAGGATATGGATACCCCATAAGAGCAGCAAAACAACAATAAAAGCACTTTATAATATCACTTGATAGACTTTAAGCTCCTGCTTAACTTTGAATGTGTCCCAAATATTTGGTATACATATTTAACAAATAAAGCAAAATATAACATGCATTTCAAATTTTATCTTTCCCTGTTATATTCAACAGCTGAACTATATGACAAGATTAAGTGATCCTGGCATATGTTAAACATAAGTTCAAATTAATGTAAAACAAATCAATAGCAAAAAAGAAACTTTCTATTTGAGTGAAGTAATGCTTTTGATTATAGTAACTTGGCTTCAGTTATCCATCAAATCTGTACTTAGGCTGTTATCTGATTGTTTATAATAAAGAATACTGTACCTGTATGTCTTTTGGCTCATTTTTCCTATAAACCTTGTAGAAGGATTTACGGGCACATGGGTCTGCAGCTCCTTAAGACAATTAATCTTAAACCATCCTATTTTGAAAATGGGATATTTTTGAACTCTCACATGGTATAGGGAAATTAGGTAGTGGTTTTGAATTAAATATCTTGGAATAACCGTCATTAAGTATGGACTTTGGAAGATACTTTGCAGTAATTTTAGTGAGGATATATGTAGATTTTTTTTCTGGATAGTTAACAAATAGCAAGTGATACTGCAGTTATAGGACAGAATGAACACTTGTTAACATCTGTACATTGCTATCCATTGCCTGTTAGAAAGGTACTAAAAGAAGGCTAGTGAGGAAAAACGAAGATGAAATCCAGGAGAAATAGGAACATATCTAAAATTATAAATTCTCAATTCCCTACATTTAAATTTCCTTCTAGTCTTAAAATGGAAGAGGGAATATCTGTAAATACTTTTAGAAAACTTAGTCTTAATTAACTTGATCAGGATTTTTAATTTTTTTTAAACAATGGAGCCCTTTATTCAAAAGAATTATTTTGTAGAATTCTATAAGATAAACAAATGAAAGATAAGCTATTCTGGTTCAGATACAGGTGGGGATCATGAAACCTCCAGTTTAAACTGCAAGTTTTGGAGAGCACTGATCCTCTCTTGTCTTTGCATCTCCCCTGACCCTGTTCTTGCATCTGATATAGGGTATTGGCATTTAAAATTCTAGTACACATTTTTTAGTAGATCATGGTATAGACATAAAATATTATCTTTAACTATTAGCCCATCTCTTAGAGAAGAATTATTTTCATCACCTAGAAACCTCCACATATTCATCAGATGGTTTTTGGGCATCAGCAAGCACAGTGGACACAATGACAAATAACAAAGTTGCTGCCCTTAAGGAGCTTACCAGTTTGGGGAGGAAGATGAACAAGTAAATCAATAAAATTAAGTGTGCTATCAGCTGTGACAAGCCCACAGAGTGACATCTTCATCGGGCCTTGGGTGGGTACCAGGGAAGGCTTCTGGGCTGATACAATTTACCTTCTTTCCTGACACTTCCCTCAACAAGTCATCCTGGACATTCCTAAGTGCCTGTGCTATACTCCCATAATACTTTATGACCATCAATGGCCACATCAGTTACCAATTCCTGCACCACACTGTTTACTTATCCATCTCTCCACCAAGCTGGAAGGGCTTTAAGGAAGGAGTTCTATCTATACATTTTCAGCATTTTCCAGATACTGTTTGTTTAGAAAGGCATTTTGGGTCTACAATATAAAGGCATAAATGTTGTTTCCAATTCTTTTTTAAAAATCAGCATTTCCTCTTCAAAATGAAAATATGGAATTACAAGCCTCCAATTGCATGTCAAATGACCATGTGCAGCTGGTAAGGACCAGAAAAGCATGCTTATGATTCAGTTTGGAAATTGTTATTCATCTGCATAGCAGTACCAAGGGAAGGTAGCTTTGAGAGTTAAACAGTTAAAATTGTTTTTATTCTAAACTATTTATTGTCAACCTCTGTGAAAAAGAATATGGAGATACCTCAAACAGCTAGATATAGAAATACCATTCGACCCAGCAATAGCATTGTTGGGCATCTACCCAAAAGAGCATAAGACATTCTACTATAAAGACATCTGGACCCAAATGTTTATGGCAGCACAATTCACTATTGCAAGATCATGGAAACAACCCAAGTGTCCGTCAATTCATGAGTGGATAACTAAATTGAATACTATTCAATTCTAAGAAATGACAGTGAATTAGTACCATTTATGCTATCCTGCATTAAGCTTAAACCCGTTATCCAAAGTGAGGTGACACAAGATCAAGAAAACAGGCTCCACATCTACTCGCCATCAAATTGGTACTGACTGATTAAAACTATGATGCTCAAATGGGGATAATCCCACTAGAGTTTGGGGGAGGGGGAAATAGACATCTTAGGGTTGTGGTGAGCATGGGGGGGGGGGGGAATACATCTAAACCTTCCAAGGGAAAGGCTAAGATATACAATGTAACCCAAAGGTCAAAAAAAGGGATAAAACAAACAAACTTTTATCGGGTGGTGGGCAAATGGGAGGGGGGAGGTGGGGAAGAATTTACACTTACAAAATAGGGCGATGAGCACCACTTGAGAGTGGACATGCTTGATGTTTTGGTAAAGGGGGGGGGGGGGGGTGGGGAGGAATGGCAGGGGCAATATATGTAACCCTAACAATATTTGTACCCCCATAATATGAAAAAATTAAAAAAAAGTGGAGTTCAGTAAGACAAGCATAAAGAATTTCAATGTTGTATTTACCAAATTCACAAAAAGACGCCAAATCTGAAAGTTTATCTTTGCATGATCATAGATGGTTCCATTATATGCTTGCATCTGACAAAAATGTTAGGTATAGCCTCAGAATGACTTTAATAATCTACTGACTACTGATGTTAAATTGAGCAAATGTAATGAAAATTATATTCAGTTTGGCTTTTAAGCCAAAAACTATTCACATCTGCAGTATATTATTCAGAAATAATGTTTGCAAGTGGCAAGCTAATTTCTCTCTAATCTCATCATTTAGAAAGGAAAAAAACCTAAAAACTACACAAATAACCAACCCACTGATGTTTAAGCACAATTTCAAGCATCATGTTGTAAAAGTGATTTGTCTCTTTTAATACGATGAAAGTTTAATCTGTACTGTCTTATACATTCAGTCTTCAAGCTAAACATATCCTATTTTACAACTCAGTTGTTAACAAATTTGGTTTTCCTGACACAATTATTTTAAAACAAATTAAATATAAGCCAGGTGTGCTGGCAATTGCTTGTAGTCCCAGCTACTCCAGAGGCTGAGGTGGGAGGATCGATCAAACTCAAGAGTTCAAGACCAGCCTGGGCAACCCATCTCTCTAAAAAAATCACTCCCTAAATTAAAGTGAAAGTGAAATTTGTCCTAATATAAATATTTATGATAATACAATGTTTAAAACATCGATGTATAATAAAATAACTTAAAATCATTTATTTTTCACACACCATGAAAAAATGTTAAATAGATGATATTTTTTCTAAGGGAGTTTGTGAAATTACAGATAACTATGAAAGAGGTTTGAAAACAAAAGTTGGCAAAGCTGCTATTTGTTTCTCATGGTCTGGTATTATAAAGAAAGTAAAAAGCTTAGTGCTTTAAGAGTAGAAAAGAACTAAGAGGAGTGGAAAGAACTTTGGTGAAACAGAATGATCCATTAATATTATATCATATGAATTATTCACAATGGCTTGAAGTAAAGGAAAGTAGCAGGGTAGAAATAGGCCTGAGCTTGGAGGTAAAAGGTTTTGCATGCTGAACTAAGACATTTGGACAACAGGTTCTTCAATCTACAACAACAAAGCATTGCTACCAGTTAGTAGTTAAAAAGCAATAATGTTACCAACCATGACAGAACCCCTTGGGGCCTCCTGAGTCATTCCCTGTCCTAGCTCCAGGCATGCTTTGGAAAATCCTGTTGGAAAACATCTTTCTGAATTTGGGTGTTTTAAGGCTCCAAATTATTCCACTGCGAAGAGTTTGGTTGGGGTTTAGAAACTTTGGGTAAGAAGCAGAGAGCACTCAATGTACAATAAATATTACCTCTTCCAACTTGGGGGGAATGATTTTTTGATTCAGAGTATGTAATCCTTTCTCTTACATTTAAATACAATTAATATACTACATATAATGTAGTTGGCCACTATGGTTTTTAAATAAGAAAAGCAAGATAACAGTGCTTGCTTAGAAACCTGATGAGATCCATCCCCCCACCTCTTGAGGATTGATACTAATTTCCTGTTGCTGCTGTAAAAAAGAGCCACGAATATAGTGGCTTAAAAAAAAAAACCAAACATTTATTCTCTCAACAGTTCAGGAGGCCAGAAATCTGAAATCTGTCTCACTGGGCTAATGTCAAGGTGTTGGCAAAGTTGGTTCCTTCTGGAAACTCTAAGAGAGAATTAGTTGTCTTGCTTTTGCTAGCTTCTGGAGGCTGCCTGCATTTCCTTCTGGTTACCCTTCTCTTGAGTGCCTCTTGAGTGCTTCATCACATCCCCTGCATCCTCTTTGTTGTCAAGTCTTCCTCTACCTCACTTACAGGACGCCTGTGATTACATTTAGAGCCCATCCAGATAATTCAGGATAACCTTCCCATCTCAAGATCCTCAGCTTAATTACATCTGCAAAGTCCCTTTTGCCATCTAAGACAACATCCACAATTTCTTGGAATTGGCACATGGATATCTTTGGAGGCCCCTTTACATCCTACTGTGAAAAAAGGGGAAGAATGCTATCAGGCACTATTAGCAGGCTATTAGGACTAGTCATCTCTCTCACTATCTTTAATGTTATCTTCCTAATTTTTTCTTTTCTAAAGGCCCTTACTATCTCCTGCACACTATATTAAGATGACTTCTCTTAACTTTGCTGGGAAACAGACACTGAATTCCTTTATGTTCTTATTACTACACATGTACCACATCTACATTTACTGTATCTGCTTTCCTCTAGCTTCCAATGAACTGGCACAGCTCATCACATATGACATCTGCCATATTTTGTAGAGAAATCATAAGGCCTGCCCAGATTCAAAGGGGTGGAAAAATAAAATCTAGATCTTACTGGATCACACTGAGTAGGTGGGTTGGGAGACTGCTTAGACATCTCTGAAAAGCATGGTCTGCCTCATTTACTTTGAAAGCATTGCACAGCTAATATTTAAAATCAGAATATTCATATACATGCCTGTAAAAAATAATAAAATCTAAATTGTTTTAAGCCACCAAATTTTCAGGTGATGTTATGCGGCAATAAATAAACTATTAACAGCTAGGTGTATCAGTTATTTACAAGAAAACTGCAAAACAAACCACCCCAAAACTCTGAGATTTACAGTCATTAACATTTATTATTGCCCACAAGTCTATAGGTCAGTTGGGTGGTTCTGCCAATCTGGGCCAGGCTTGACTGATCTCAGTTGGTATCAAATGTATCAGTAGTCAGTTTGCAGGCTGGAAGGGGGGACAGCTCATCTAGCATAGCTTCACTCACATATCTGGATGTTTGCTATTAGCTGTACAACAGAGGTGACTAGACCATGTGTCTCTCATTATCCAACAGGCTAGGCTGGGATCGTCACCATGGCAGCTGTGTAGGATTCTAAAAAAACAAGTGGAAATAGTCTACTCAGAGCTGCCATCTTGTTATTTACTCTGCATTCTATTGGCCAAAACAAGTGACAAGGCCAGTCCTCCAGATTTAAGGGGTTAGTAAATAAACTTGAGCTCAAGGGGTAAAAGGAGCTGCAAAGTCACATGGCAATGTCATGAGAACACGTAGGGGTGAAAAATTGGGGACACACTGCAATAAATCCACCCAACATAAACCTCATAACTTCATTGATAGTTTTATATAAAGTAAAAAATAGGCCGGGGCAGTGGCTCACACCTGTAATCCTAGCACTCTGGGAGGCCAAGGCAGGCGGACTGCTTGAGGTCAGGAGTTCGAAACCAGCCTGAGCAAGAGCGAGACCCCGTCTCTACTAATAAATAGAAAGAAATTAATTGGCCAACTAATATATATAGAAAAAATTAGCCAGGCATGGTGGCGCATGCCTGTAGTCCCAGCTGCTCGGGAGGTTGCTGTGAGCTAGGCTGACGCCATGGCACACACTATAGCCTGGACAACAAAGGGAGACTCTGTCTCAAAAATAAATAAATAAATAAATTTCCATTGTGGCAGATAATAATTACATTGCGTTGAATACTGTCCTATTCCTATCCAAACTCATGAATGGGTAGCTACTTTATTCTAAAAAATATACTGAGTGAAAGATTCTGAATCTCTCAATTATGTACTCTAGGGTTTGACAACTAATATTCATCACAAAGTTCTTATAAATATATAAATTCAGACCCTTTTCATTCAGTTCTCACTGGCCTGTTTCTTTTCTTTCCTATTTCTTTTATTCCGTCTCAAGAAACATAAGCTGATTTTTTTCCACCATAAAAGTTAACTTAAGCTCTAGGGATTCAATAAAGCTCTTAACACCATAAATATGAGAATAAACAGTTAATATCAAATAGATGCATTCCTCTGCATTCAGTAAAAAGAAACTAAAGAATAGAATAAGGAAATTAGACAACTCAAAGGTCAACTGGACTTTAATGAGTAATTTTGGTAAAAGCATTTTTGAACAGATACTTGGGTATAAAATACATAAAATGAACAAAAACATTCTTTCTCTTCATAAGTACTTCTCAGAACAGCCATTACTAAATTTAACTTGATATATATTTCAGAGCTTAAAAACCAACTAACAAATTTTTGCAGTTAAAACTTGAGACACATAAATTTATTATCCTAACATTGGATAGACTCTCTTGACATTTTACTTGTTATTGGTAGGTTTGCCTTTTAAAAGTTTTTCTAGGAGAAAATATAAGAAAAAGTATTTATCCAGATTATGTATCATTTTTTAACATTACTTAAGGAATAACAGTCTTAAAATAGCTCAATTTTAAAAACAATGACAAAATGCTGAAATGTCATTCTTACGCTCAAGATCTTCTTTTTGAATAGGATTTCTTTTTCATTTCTTTAACGAAAATGAATATAAGAAAAGTAATTTTGTCCTGGCATTGGTGGGCTGAGATCTACACTGCTCACAAATTCAACACACGACAGCATCTGCTTTAAAAGAGATCAACACTAATAGGTAATATGAATAGAGAGGCCAACTGTAAGAGATGCATTCACTCTAGTGCACTGAGTTAATTCCTCTCTTAGGTTTTACCAGCATATCTCTGAAAAGAGATGCACATCCTAATTTCACAAATACTGAACAGTATTTGTGAACAGTGATCACTTTCCTAACAGATATAAAATATGCTTACCTCTTTGACAGCTCCAGACTCAACTGCAAAGAAAGGTTATTACAAGAACCCAATTCTAGGTGCCTCAACTACATGTTATTACTAGAAATAGCTATCAGTATTTCTTAAGAGGAGTGTTATTGGCATTGTGAGTGAGATAATTCTTGGTGTGTGGAACTACCCCAGACACTGTAGAACATTAGCATTCCTGGCCTACTCATCAAAAACCAGTAGTTTTCAAGGTCACCGTGACAACTAAAAAACAGATTTATACATTCCCAAACTGTGCTTTGATGAGAACCACTGAGCTAGATGATTCAAGATTAATATCTATTAACTTCATGACTTCCACAGAAAGTAACTGCTTCATTACCTTCAGTAACAATGACTGAAGAGGAACATATTTTAAACAACATTGTAATTAAATGTTATTTTGGAAAGATAAATTGATTTCTACAAACTCATGATGATCTGAAAGGATTAGATGCACAAAGTGCAATACTTATTTATCCCCAAATGCAACACACATTTACAGGAAAATGTTTATGTTCCATTAACATATATTATCCCATTTATCTTTACTATAAAAATATGTTCATCTATTACACTAAAGTAAGAAACATGTAGATGTTCTTGATAAGGTCCCTCATACCGATGCTCCTGGAAACTGCTGCTGTCTTTGCTCCAAAACTTGCTGATTTAATAGTTGTTGCTGCTTCTGTAAAAACTGCACTACTTCTGGACTTCTCAGTAATGACTTAAAAAGAAAAAAGAAAAATATTAATAGCATTATTCTTATGTGATTAGATTCATGCTATGGAGTTATTCGTCCCTAAACAAGATAGAATATGCTTACAAACCAAAACATGCCTGAATTGAATTCACTTTTGTATTTGATGCACTACAATGAAGCTGCAAACTAATAATAAAATTTGATGTCACATATCAAAGTACCTAAAATCTAAAAATAATGGGTAAAGCATGATATTACTATGAACTAAAGAAATGCTTTAGGCATGATATGCTGGCAAATATATTCTCTTAAAACATATGAGAGCAAAGAGCTAATAATAGCACTGACCCAGTATTACAGCAAGAAGAAAACAGAAATGAAAGGGGGCCACATGTGAAAGTGGCAGTTGAATGCCAGTCTGTACATACATATAAACTAGTACTGGAATCAAGTTTCTCCAACTAGCTAAGTCTTCAGGAAGAAATTAAAAATTATATGTATGTGTACAGGTATACATGTGTACATATAGGGGTGTATGTGTGTGTGTGTGTATGTATATATATATATATATATACATACACACACACACACAGAAACACACACATAAAGTAATATTAGCACACTACCAAAATTTCAGGAAAGAATACAAAAGTTCTAAAACAATCAAAACATTTTTGTACACTTACCATTTTAAATATGACATAACAAATATAATAGACTATGATTAATGTTTTATTATAATAAAATACTTATATAAACTGATAAAAAGCAAAAAACTTTTGACCCCAGTAAGTTGAAAAAAGATAAACCAAATACAGTGGAAATATTATCATTAAATACTGATTTTAAGATTATATATTATAGTACATTTTCTATTTGTTAAATAGTTTTAAAAATCACTTGGAAAGACTGTTCAACATTCTATTAAGTAAATGTATAATAATCTACTTAGCTGCCACGAGACTCTTGGACATTTAGGTGTTTCAACTATTAATATTTTACTATTTATGATAAATACATTTCTGGTCATATCCTTAGGCTTAACTCTATTCATATTTAGGATTTACCTTCTATGAATGTCCTCATATTAAATGTGTGAGTCAAAAGGGATGGCCATTTTAAAAACGCCTGATACATACTGCTCAACAGCTTTGTCAAAGTGCTATACCAACACATAATGCCATTTACAAAACGACAGTGCCCATTTTATGGAACCCTTGACATTATGGTGCATAATCACTTAAATTTTCACTTATTATTATTATTTGTTATGTCATTTTTACTGATATTGAATACCTATCCATATCATTTAATGCTATGGTCCCCAAATCCCAAGCTGTGGACAGCCGTAGACCATTACAGGTCCGTAGCTTGCTAGAAACCAAGCCACACAGCAGGCGGTGAGTGGTGAGAAAGTGAGCAAAGCATCATCTGTATTTACAGCCGCTCCCCATCACAGATCTGACTGCCTTATATCAAATTTATAACAGAGATTCTTATTAGACATTGGTCTAATTATACCTCACCATCATTAAAACATTATTCCACGTCGGGTACGGTGGCTCACGCCTGTAATCCTAGCACTCTGGGAAGCCAAGGCGGGCAGATTGCTCGAGGTCAGGAGTTCAAAACCAGCCTGAGCAAAAGCGAGACCCCCTCTCTACTATAAATAGAAAGAAATTAATTGGCCAACTAATATATATATTAGTTGATCCTGTTATTAGATCCTGTTCTTTGTTTAACAATGGAGAGTATATTATCTGCACTTTCCTGGGATAAATGATAAAAACAAAAACGTGATTAACAGTTAATATAATGTAATAATCCATGATGACAGACATTTCAATGATGTAATGAACTGGTCGTTGAAGAAAATTCCTCCTAGTTGCCCAGTCCCTGTGAAACTTTGGGCAAGCCCCTTGTTATCACAGGCAAGAATCTGGCAGTTAACTTATGCAACACTCCTTTCTCACTCCCTTTCCCTCCACAATATATATATACATACATATATACATACATACTAAATACATATATATATACACATTATATATATATACATATATATATATATATATATGTATATATGTATGTATATATGTATTTAGCCGGGCATGGTGGCGCATGCCTGTAGTCCCAGTTACTGGGGAGGCTGAGGCAGGAGGATCGCCTGAGCCCAGGAGTTTGAGGTTGCTGTGAGCTAGGCTGACACCATGGCACTCACTCTAGCCTGGGCAACAAAGTGAGACTCTGTCTCAAAAAAAATAAATAAATAAAACATTATTCCATAAACCGCTGAGTTCAGTATAAAACTTAGTTTTAAAATCTCATCTTTGATAATTCCATGATGTATATATACATTTATCAAAATACCACATTATACCCCATAAATACAATTATTGTTTGTCAACTGAAAAGTATTTAAAAAATGAGAAAGTAAATGAATAAAAAAGAAACATAAACAAACTCCCATCTTGCTCAGATAGTCAATGAGGTTTAGTCAATGAAAAGAATAGGATTAAAAGAGTCCTGGGAGAGCATTTTTAAGTTTCCAGTGTTACTGGCAATGAGCCACAACTCTATTCTGATGACCAGTTTAACAAGTCTTAAAATCTCAAAAATATAAATAGTTCCATTTATAACAAATGACTTTTGTTAATAGATTTGTAAGTACTTTAAAACAGATATTTACCAGTCTTTTTTGATTTAACACTTGTTCTAAAAGAGTAGGTCTTGCAGGACGATCCCCAAAAGATCCTGTTCTTTGTTTAACAATGGAGAGTATATTATCTGCACTTTCCTGAGATAAATGATAAAAAAAAAAACGTGATTAACAGTTAATATAATGTAATAATCCATGATGACAGGCATTTCAATGATGTAATGAACTGGTCGTTGAAGAAAATTCCTCCTAGTTGCCCAGTCCCTGTGAAACTTTGGGCAAGCCCCTTGTTATCACAGGCAAGAATCTGGCAGTTAACTTATGCAACACTCCTTTCTCACTCCCTTTCCCTCCACAATTTCCAACCTAGGTTCTTCACTCTCTTGAAGGGTCTCAAAATAAATAATGGGAGAGATGTGGGAGGAGGGAGGCAAAGAGTTACTTGTGAGCTCTTTTCAATATTACAAAAACTGCCAAGTAGAATTGAACATTCTCTTCATATAAAGCTATACAGGCCAAAACATCAAGTCTGCCTGCCTTTGAATGGAATATATGAACTCAGAGGCAATTTATAAGTTGTTGAATGAGACACTCTAATTGACAGCTTTTTGCCCAATTAAAAACCAAAACAAATGGGGAGGAAGCAGTAAAATACTGCTTAAAGAAGTAATTGATAACCAAAGCTTACAAAATTTGTAAGTCACTAGGAGAAAAACGATAAACTGGCTTGAAAAAGCTAGAAAGCACTGGTATAGTTTCCAGCTACTGGTATGGACAAAACAGGTAAGTCCTAAAATGAGTTTAATAACCTATTCAAGGCCACAAAGCCTGCAAATAATGGAGCAGAGTTGTGCAGCCATAAGTCCAACTGCAGAGCTTTAACCTTCAATGCAGTTCAACTCAAACAATCAAAAAATTTTCTGAGACTTATGACCCATTATCATTCATTTTTTTTTCCTCAGGGGTACTCAGAAAAGGGATAGTGAAAAAGCCCAGACTTCACCACTATACAATATATACATATATTGGAATTCAACTTGTAACCCCTGAATCTTAAAATTTTTAAAAAGGGAAAAATAAATTTTAAAAAATGTATTTAGTTTAAAAAAACTCACAGAACTACATTGCCTATGATATTGTAGCTTAAAATTACCTTTCAACAAATGAATTGATAGAGTCTTTGTGTATACCAGAAATAAAATTGATTTTTAATAAAGAAAAAAAGGGGGGTCATGAGAACAAGGTACTAAGAACAAGGATACTGAGAACACAGTATTACATATAGGGGTACTGAGAACTGGGGACTAAGTACTGGGAGTATTAGGAACAGGGTAATAAGTACAGGAGTATTGAAAACAGGGAGAGATTACCTTGTCCAAAGTACCAATTTCATCTAGGTTCCTAAATCTCTGCCAGCTCCTTTAGCAATGAACCAGATTAATTATTTACTATCCGCACTTCCAGCCCATAACCATAATCTCTGAAATGATGGCTCTGCTGATGTCACATCATTTTTACTTAAATGTATTCACCTAACCGTGAGTGCAACAAAATTGTTAAGGCTTTTGCACATGTTCCCATCAACACTTTTTTAGGGCAAGCACTCATTAACTCTCAGCCACTTAGCCCAGAGGGCGGGCAGGGTTTGGAATCAGAGTTTGCAGCAAGATGGGGTTTCTTCTTCCATTTCCTACCTCCCACGACCCTAGGTAAAGTCTCATACCTCCAGTTTGACGTTTCCCGCGCTGGCAGCAGAGGAGGTCGCACCACAGTTCAGGGCCTGGTCGCTCTTCTTCTTTTTGTACTTGTCCTTGTACATCTTGTTACGGTGCTTTTTGCACATCCAGGGCTTGCGCTGCTTGGCCACCTGGCTCGTGGTCTCGCTGCAGCCCTCGTAGGTGCAGGTCTTGCTCACGCCGCTCCCGCCGCTGCCCCGCCTCCGGGCTCCCCCGCCGCTGCCCTCGCCCCCCGAGTGGGCCTCCTCGTCCTCCAGATCCTCCAAACTAGCCGCGCTCTCGCCTCCCCCCGGGGGGTCCGAAGTGTCCAGCAGGTCGGCTTCGTCCTCCCCCGCCTCCTCCTCGCCATCGCCCGGCACTTCACACAGGTACCTGACGGGCTTGCCCGCCCCGGCGCTGCCCCCGGGGGCCGGCGCGTGCCTCAGGACGCCCTCGGCCGCAGCCTCGTCCTGCCCCCCACAGGGGTGCATCACCAGCAGGGTGAACTGCGACGCCGGCGCCGCGACAGGGGCCGGAGTCAGGGCCGGAGCCAGAGCCCCGGGGCCGGGCACAGCGCCGGCGGCGCCCGGCCCCGCACTCTCGGCGACACCCTGCACCTCCGTGCTGCCGAGACTTGGCCGGGGCCCAAGGGCCCAGACTTTCACCACCTGCCGGAACCAACGGCACTTCACAAATCAAACACCCCACACACGCGACAGAAAAAAGGCGCCCGATCCGCGAAGGCGCTCCGATTGCGCCTGCGCAGCCGCAGCCCGCGCGTAAACGTGCGTGCGCCCGCCGGCTGGTTCTCGCCCGCGTATCTGAGGGGCGGGGCTGAAGGCAGACCTGGAGGGACTGACTGCGCATGTGCGGCCGTCTCGGCGCTCAAAGAGAAACGCCGCCACTGTTATTAGGACGCTGGAGTATCAGTGGAGCTTTGTGGTGCTTGCAAAACACTTTTCTACTGGAATTTCATTGTGTAAATTAATATTGTTCCTGAGCAGTCTCATGACTTGTGGCGTTAGGACGCTGATTTCAATGATATTTCTCCCCAAACTGCCTGAAATGGGAGCTTTAAAGCTGGGACTGCTAGAAGTGTCACGTCCTGGCTCCCCTAGTTTGCAGTCGTTGAGGGCAGGGGTGGCTTCTTTGAAAACAGCCCAGTGGAGAAAAGGTGAGCCAGAACTTTGGCCAAGTTGTATTTATGTTGAGGGATAAATGATTTACTCTTTATAAATTTGATTTTCTCAGAAACTTATTTTCTGTCTCTGTAGATTTTCCTTTTCTGGACATTTTATATCAATACTTTCATATAATATATGGTCTCCTGCACCTAGTGTCTAGCAAAATGTTTTTGAGATTCATTTATTTGGTTGCTTGTGCCCGTCGTTTTTCCTTTTTATGTCTGAATGTTATTCATATTGTTTACCCATTCACCAGACAATGGACATTTGGATTGTTTTATGATTTTGGCTATTACAAATAATGACAGTAGATTTTATTATCAAGTGATTAGCATATACAATTAGCCCTCAAAATTATTTCCTGAATGAATCTATTAAAAAATGAATAGGTCAGGTTAAGGGAAGGAGGCTGACTGAATGCAGGATTTTTGGGTTCTCTGCTTGGCTCTGTTGCCAGGTGTTAGTGCAGCTGACCAGGTGGGTAGGAGGATTCTCTGGGTTTTAGTGTTTTGACTGTAAAATTATGTAGAGGAGGGAAGACTTTCCTTCTACCCTCTGAGAGTTTGATAACTAGTCTATGAAATAAGCTGACATGAGGCAGATGAACAGGAGAAAAGCTATGTGCACAGGGGCATTACAGAAAAGAAAACCGAATGCCTCAAAACTCAGTGAGATCTAAAAATTCATATACTCTTTTCATAGGGTTGAGGGAAAGGGGCATGTAGACAACTTAGGGGAGAGTAAATAATTGGGGAAAGATGAATGGGCCCTTAGAAGAATAGATGATAGTTTGTGATAAATTTCATCTGGGTGTGGTGCTGACTTCTAGTCTTCCTTTCCTGTGATAAAAGGTAATCTTCCCTGGTTGATGAAACCCTTGGGCATGGAATTGTTGACAATTGAATTCCTTTAGGAGGATCTGTCTTTAGGCAGATAAGGAGAGCTCAGAGAAAGCCTCTGCCTCTACCCAATATCCCTCAAGTGCCCTCAGTTCAAAGTAATAAGCACAAAGTGGCACATTTTGGAGTGCTGTTTCCTGAACCTTTTCAATGATGAAGTTGGTCTAAATGATCTATAAGTTCTTTCCTAAGTTTAGAATGTAATGTACCATAATGGTCTTTCACTATGCTTAGACCTGTCACTTGGGATTTTGATTTAATTGATCTGGCATGAGACCAGGCACACATATTTTTAAAAAGCTCTCCAGGTAATTCTAATATAAAAACAGAGTTGAGAATCATTGGAGTATCTGTGATACGCTAATATGTAATCCTATAGACTTATATGGACAAACAGATATCATGGCTCCATGATTAATAAACATAGAGTATTTGTTACCAATCAGTAAGATTTTGCATATATGATATTTTTAAGTGATAGAAACTCAGATTATAGTTAAAGCAAAACTTTAGCATTATTACTATTGCCATTATTTCATTTAGATTCGATCCGTTTAAATGCTCTTTGAAGACTTACTACTAAAGAAAAGGCATTGCACAAATTCTGCGTAGGCTTCCTCATCTCCTTCAATTATCTCCTTACTACCCCTCTCTTTCCATATAATTATGCAATCCTTCTTTTGTATTTTTCAAAACGATGCTTATTTAATGCCAAAGGAGTTCCTACAAGTGGGAAACTTTGAGATGAAAAAGGTGTTCATTTTCTTTGGATAGTCTTGGACTTACTTGTTTTATGTTTTCATTGCAGGGAAGCAAAGCCTATTAAAGGGGCCTCAAGCTCTTAGGGGGTGGGGTGGGATAGGTGGACGAAATGGAATGAGAAAGGCGTCAGAGTCAAGGCAGTGCTAGGGACTGGCTACTCTCCTCACCTTTTCTTTCTCTCAAGTCACTTCTCTCTGGACAGTTTTCCTCTTTCTACTAGCTTTCTTCAGATCCTTCCTAATTTTGGCTTATATGTGGCTTTCTGGCTGGTCTCTGTTTGATCTCTTTCCTCTGCTGTTTTCTGGGCTGTGTTGGCTGAATCACATCAAAATTCCCATGGTCACTGACTTCCACTGGGTTTGACTAATGAATGGACCACCAGAGGGCAAGAAGAGAGTGAGAGGTTAGGATATTTCTTCCCCTTACCTTCCCTGTTCCACTTTGTCATGGTCTCGCTTTGTTGTCCAGGCTAGAGTGAGTGCCGTGGCGTCAGCCTAGCTCACAGCAACCTCAAACTCCTGGGCTCAAGCGATCCTACTTACTGCCTCAGCCTCCAGAGTAGCTGGGACTACAGGCATGTGCCACCATGCCCGGCTAATTTTTTTTATATATATATCAGTTGGCCAATTAATTTCTTTGTATTTATAGTAGAGACGGGGTCTCACTCTTGCTCAGGCTGGTTTTGAACTCCTGACCTCGAGCAATCCGCCCGCCTCGGCCTCCCAGAGAGCTAGGATTACAGGCGTGAGCCACCGCGCCTGGCCACTTTGTCATCTTTGATAGTATCTATATCCTTCCTAAACTACAGCTCCTGCCAAAGGGTCCTCTTCTCCATTTCCAGATCTCATTGAGCTCCAGTAACACTATTTCTGCCCATTGTTCCTTCACATCAGGGGTAGTACTGGCTTCCTGCTATTGCTACTTCTTCCTGGTGCGTTTACCATCCTTTATTCTCTTAACCCTGCCTACACATCTGCAAATAGTGCTTTACTAAGTGTCTCCATTTGAACCATTTGTGTCTTCTGTTTCCTGCTGGGTCTTTGAAGGACCTGGTGGCCATCAACAGGACTCCTGTTCTGCAGTTCCTCAGGACCTGGTGATCTCAATTCCCACTGCTCACTGGTGCCATTTCTCTAGGGCTTCCATTTCAGATCCCTGATATTGAGACGTTGTTTCACCTGGATTCTTGTTCTTCTTGCTGGGCTGGTCAGTGCTCACTGGGAAAGCCAAGGACCTTCTACACTTGGGTAAGGTGCCCATTCCTGATCCAGTCAATGGTTGGAGGGGGGATCCCTTATGACAGAACGTGGCTGTGATGGGGGCTGTGGCCAATGCAGTTTCCCTTAAAGGGGGATGTAGGCTGGCAGGGACCAATCAGCACCTGTAATATGGCTTTAATTCTGCTTTCTCAACATTAATACAATTTAACTCTGACTTAGGCTTCTGCCTTTGCTAAAGAAAATGATGTATGGTTAATTTTTATTTAACTTTAATAAAACTTAAGAATTATTTCCTAGAACCAGAGGTCCAAACCTTTTCTCCTCTATTTCCAACTCTATAGCCCATTTCCCTTTCTCTATCTTCTTCTTCTTTTGTTATCTTCAGAAAACAGTATTATGTTTCCCTGAGAAGTAGTATATGCTATCAGTTAAGGGTGAGGAAAGGAGCCATTCTAATTTCCTTTTTTCAATCGCCCCTTTTCAATCCTTTTATAATCACCTATGAAACTTGGTATGCACAGAGTACTGATTCTCACCAAAACAGACCTTCATTGTTGTGATTACAGCCTAGTAATCACAGTAAAGAGTTCTGATGTGAGAAATTTATTTATGACAATCTATATTACATGTTATATCTTATAATAGTATTTTATCAAAAAGTTTTTTAAAAATAATTCATCTTTTGCTTCCAGAAAAGTGAAAGGCATATTAAGAAGATATAAATGAACATAGAATTCATTTTTTTGAGCCTCTTTGTATTTCTTGCATTCATCAATCCACAGATAATGCATGACCACAGCAAAAAACAGACTATGCTAAGATTTTCAGATACAGTGTTTTTATTTTATTTAGAACAGCCAGGAGGTGACCTCCTTTGAAAGAAGATTCCAAAGAACTGTTGAATATATACCATTTTTATATTGATGTCATCAGTTTGAGAGTAAGTACTTCACAGGGCTGAAATATTCCTAGATAGTCAAGCCTAATGTTTCGACTTCAGTCAGAGTTTGAGTACCTATGTTTTTGATCTTTCGTACCCTAAACCATCCTTGAATCTGGCATAACACAATGTCACAAAAGGTATTACCCATTAATAGAATACAAAATAGTAGAGAAATGGCCACAAGAGTGACCCCTGTTGGTTTCTTTATGAAAAAGACAGTTCTATCAGTACAGGTCTTAGTCTGTTAGTAACAGAATACCTGAGGCTGAGTAATTTATAAAGAAAAGAGGTCTATTTAGCTCACAGATCTGCAGACTGAGAGGTAAGAGAAGCCTAGGTCTAAACATGGCAAAGAAGGTCAAAAAGGAAGCAGACATGTGAGGAGAGGACAAAACAGAAGGAACCTTGCATTATAACAACCCACTTTCCTGAGAACAAATCCATTCCTACTAGAACTAATCCAGTCTCAGCAAAGCAAGAACTGACTCACTACCTTGAGAATGGCACTGCGATATTTTGAAACATATATTTGGTCTTCTGCCCTGACCTAATTTCCTGGCATACAACTCCTAAAATCCTTAAAAACTCCAGTGATACTAATGAGTTGACTGGTAGCTGGCAGCCCCTAGGGGCTGGTCACTGGAAGGACCCAGGCAGGATTAGAGAGTTGAGACTTTCAGCTCTAACCCCCAACCTCCAAGGAATGGAGAGAGGCTGAATGTTAAGTTGCTCACCAATGGCCAGTGGCTTGATCAATCATGCCCGTGTAATGAAGCCTCCATTAAAACCCACAGGGGCAGGATTAGGGGAGCTTCCAGAGAGCTGAACATGTAGAGTTTCCTGGAGGGTGGTGTACCTGTGGAGGGCATGGAAGCTCCAGTCCCCTTCCTTCATACCTTGCCCTATGTATCTCCTTGCCTGTATCCTTTGTAATATCCTTTATAATAAGCCAGTATATATGAGTCTTATAGGACCCCAGGTTCATTTGCCTGCTGTGCAGTAATCAGACCAATATACTGAAGCAGCAGAGGTTGTAACAGAAAGTGTTTAATAATCATTGGGAAGCTGAATAAGGGGAGGAGCCCCTCAAATCTGTCTTCCTGAAGAATTCTGGGCCAAAATATAAATACACAGTTTCAAAATGTAATTCTTTTTTTTGAGACAGAGTCTCGCTTTGTTGCCCAGGCTAGAGGGAGTGCCATGGCATCAGCCTAGCTCACAGCAACCTCAAACTCCTGGGCTCAAGCAATCCTCCTGCTTCAGCCTCCCGAGTAGCTGGGACTACAGGCATGTGCCACCATGCTCGGCTAATTTTTTCTATATATATTAGTTGGCCAATTAATTTCTTTCTATTTATAGTAGAGACAGGGTCTCGCTCTTGCTCAGGTTGGTTTCGAACTCCTGACCTTGAGCAATCCGCCCGCCTCGGCCTCCCAGAGTGCTAAGATTATAGGCATGAGCCAACGCGCCTGGCCCAAAATGTAATTCTTATAACAATTCTTATGTATCTTACCATAGTACTTTAAATTTAAACGAATTATGCTAATAATATGAAACATTTGCCAATAATAGCTTTCACTGAAATTCAGTGAGATGCTATTTCCTGTGTCTATGCGCTAATATTTTGTACTAAGTCTATTAGTTTAAAATCTCCTGTCACATGTTTGCAACTGGTTTTCGTGACTTTTGCAGTAGCCCTGTGATGCAAACCTCAACTCTGTATGTAGTAGGACAGAATTTGCCACAATTTAGCTTCTTTTCAAACAAGTAGATGAGAAAATCTTAGCTGCAGCCCAAATCTTTTAAATTAGATTGATTAAATCATGCTTTGTCCTTAAAATCCAATTAACTTTTCTTTTTCTTTCTTTTTTTAATGGGAGACACCACACTGAAATCAATTAACTTTTCTTGAAAATGCCGGCAAACATATTTGACATCTGTTTAAAATCACTCAATCTGGTATTGTAAAATGTTAACAGATCTTTAAATCTAATCATTGTGGCATCCAAATGAGAGCTATATATTTCTGAGTCCGTATCTTTTAATCTATCTTTATGTAAAATAGATTATGCTGCAAAGCTAAAAATTACAAGAATCTTCACTGAGTAAGTGCAATGGATTGAATGTTTGTGTGTCCCCCAAAATTTATAAGTTAAAACCCTAACACTCCTGGTAGTGACATTAGAAGGTGGGTCCTTTGGGAGTGATTAGGTCATTAGGGCAAAGCCTTCATGAATGTGATTAGTGCCCTTATAAAAGAGACTGCAGAGAGATTCTTTGCCTCCTTTAGCCACATGAGGACACGGTCAAAAGGTGACTGTGAATCAGGAACTGGGCCCTCACCAGATGTAAAATCTGCTAGCACCTTGATCTTGGACTTCCCAGCCTCTAGAACTGTGAGAAATAAATATTTGTTGTTTATAAGCGACCCGGTATGCGGTATTCTGTTATAGTGACTCAAACAGACTAACATGGTAAGGTTATTTTGTAAATATTATATCTATTGATTAAGCCACAAAAATTCCCTTTACTGTAATGAGATTGATCCCCTTTCCTAAAAATGTAAGAAAGACCTCGTTTATGCTGTAGATATGCCTTCACAGTGGAGACAGAGTCCTCCCCTCCTCTGTCACTCAGGGATGATAAGGCAGCTCCATCTCGGCTGCTGATCAGCAATGTTGACTTCTGATTTCCCCTAGTTCTGGAAATGCCTGTAAGATTTCTACTTCCATGCACCTACCATAAATCCTGCCCTTACACAAATTCTTGCCTTTCCCTGAGGGCTCAACTTCGATTGTCCTCCACATTCCTTCCATAGGATATATAAGCCCTGCATCTGGGGATAAGGTGGGAGGACTCCCCATTTCATCGGGCAGCGCCTGGCACATGGCTCCTATTCATAAGTCCCTCTTACATGTTTCTTCCTGAGAAACTGGATTTGTCAGCTTCTCTCTGTAGCCTCCCAGCTTCCTCCACTTTGGGATTAGGTTTGCACAAACCTGCCCACCTTGGAGTACCACACCATGGCATTAGCAACAGGAGGGAGCCCGATGTCTCCTACCTCCCGCTGTGAGGTGATGTGAAGTAAGAGCATCACGTATGACATATTCTCCCCAAAACATTTTAATGTGAATCTACCTAAGTCTATAGAACTCATTTCATGCTTATAGGGAATAGAGGAAGAAATATGTTAAACAGCACCACGAAGAGGCAATCAGAAAAATTCAGAATATGGAAATTCTAAAAGACATCTGGCCCAGTAGAAAAAAGTTATTGTTATGAAAATGACAAAAAATAAGGTCAAGATATTTTATAAATTAAGAAGGAGTAGAAAGTCATAACACAAAAATGTAATGCATATGGCCGGGCGCGGTGGCTCACACCTGTAATCCTAGCACTCTGGGAGGCCGAGGCGGGTAGATTGCTCAAGGTCAGGAGTTCAAAACCAGCCTGAGCGAGACCCCGTCTCTACCATAAAAATAGAAAGAAATTAATTGGCCAACTAATATATATATATAAAAATCAGCCGGGCATGGTGGCTTGTGCCTGTAGTCCGAGCTACTCGGGAGGCTGAGGCAGGAGGATCGCTTGAGCCCAGGAGTTTGAGGTTGCTGTGAGCTAGGCTGACGCCACGGCACTCACTCTAGCCTAGGCAAGAAAGCGAGACTCTGTCTCAAAAAAAAAAAAAAAAATGTAATGCATAAAACTTAATTGGATCCTAGTGAAAAACAATACCAAAATCCACAATTATAGAAATTTTAGTATTTTGGGAATGGAGACAAACCGAGTATTAGATAACATTAGATAATAATGATTCTGAATTTTTAAGTATAATAACAACATTGTGGTTATTTAAGAAAATATCCTTATATTTAGGAGACGCATGATTACGAACTTAGGGGTAAAGCAACATGATAACTACATTTTATTTTGAAATGTTTTATCCAAAATATATATGTGAATAGGAAGCAGTTATGGCAAAATACTTACAATAGCTGAATCTAGGTGTTTTGACTTTTCTGTTTATTTGAAAATAAACATACTAATATATGAAATATAAATTTAAATAATTATAACTTGAGGCCCAGCATGGTGGCTCTCATACGTGTAATGCTAGCACTTTGGGAGGCCAAGGTGGGAAGATCGCTTGAGGCTGGGAGTTCAAGACCAGCCTGGGCAACATAGTAAGACACCATCTCTACAAAAGTAGAAAAATTACTGATAGCTGGGCATGGTGGTGTGTGCCTGTGGTCCCAGCTACTTGGGAGGCTGAGGCAGGAGGGTCGCTTGAGCCCAGGAGTTTAAGGTTGTAGCTATGATGACACCACTGCACTCTAGCCTGGTAGACAGACTGGAAGTTGCTGAAAAATGACTTGTTAAAACATCTGGTACCTCTTTTTAAA